GTGAGGGAGCACAGAGATACAGTGGAGGTTGTCGTACGGCAGGCCACACGCAACAACACGGCCATGTGCTCTAAAAGGACCAAGAGAGAATCCGGAGGGAGACTGCAAACGACGACATGAGGACATGGCTCGGTGCGAAAACGGATGCAACAGGACCGCTATGACAACACGCCTTGGCAGGGCAACTCCAATCTATTTCGAGCAGATAAGAGAAGGTAAACTAATTTGAACGTATGCCGTCTAGACGTCCTGCAGGTGCACTGGATAATCCGGCAACAAGCACAACAAACGAGCACACGGATGCTGTACCTCTTCTGTGAGCTTAGAAAGGACAGTCCGCGCATCACGGCAGTCCTTTGACTTCCTTGCGTCTTCTTTTGTCTTGGCCCACGACGGCCAACACTCCGCTATCCGCATCCCGCCAGTCAGTGCAACCATCCCCACGCGTAGCAGTGCCCTGGTTTGCTTCCCACGCGGCATCCCCGCGTCCGTATGCTCTTTTCTCGCTTCGTGTTCTCATCCATTGCCCCGTTTCGGGTAGGTCGTTCCTCGCCAGCATCACAGCTCGGGAATTCGGCCTTCTGCATGATGAGTCGTCGAGCTGTGTTTCTGGTTCTCCTCTCATCACTTTCCCCTTGCGGAGTCATTCCGTTGCATCGACCCCACGTCTGTCCCGTCCCAAAGGAAGAAATGAGGCCAATATGTCGACCTATCGACAAATGGGGTGCAAGAAAAAACGTGCTCATACTTTGGGACTTGAAAAAGGATGCATCCAAGTCACCGTGCAAGTTGCTCTTGGTTGGTCGACGGCACACAAAAGTCAGGTGCCGCCACATTGACGCAGGAGGGTTGGAGTGGAGGCGTGTAGCAGCTTGTAAGACACGAAGCAGCCGAATTGGGAAACCCGGTGGCACTGCAACGACTCTCGTCCAGAAACGAGCAAACAGCACTCTGTGCAAAAACGCACTCCGATGTCTATCCGACTTCAGCTCTGCAATGTATTCGTATTCGTAGAGTTGATGCAGAGGACTCGTACGAGTTCAATGGAGAACGTGAAACACCTCGACTGGTGACTGTGCATGATGTTAAACGGCACTTTACCGATAGGAACATCTTATGAAAATTAGTAGGAGGATGTAAAGATAGATTCTAATGAAGAATTTATAGAATTTGATGTCGAATGTCAAAACAGAAAAGATATATATACGGCCAGTAATAAATCTAGATGAATACGGAAAAATGAATACAAAGTACACGTAGGTGCAAAAGAGTTCATCATCAAAGGTGCATCTTCGTGAAGTAAAAGTAAACCTGATAGCATTCTGAAGGTGGACTGCATGACCACCCTTATGTCTTCTGCTCCTCAACTTATAGCTGGCTCTATCGATGGTGTTGATCTGGGCAGGTTGTGAGACACCCCTGAGAAGGTGCCCGGCTGCATAGATCACTCTAACAGGAAAGCAGTGAGGAGATCACTTCTTCTTGCCATCAGCTTTACTTCCTTGGAGTAAAATATTAGATACTGGAATCTGTGGACCTTGCCACTTAATTACTTCTGTCGTATGCCGGCCCTTGGATCTAATGACATGATGTTGACATCCTGCTCAGCCTTGCGCTAAGATTGGCGTCACGGGCACACGACTTCACTTCATATTTGTTTATTCTCAACATTCTGCTCAGTCTGCCGTTGAACATGAACGTAACTCATCTCACCTATTCATTTTTCAATTTCTATTTATTGAGTACTCGGTAAAATAGTTTATTGCATTTATGTTTCAGTTTATCGATGATTTATTGACTATTCGTTTGTTTACAGTTGTTTACCGTCTGATATTTGATTGTCTTTCATCACATCCTCAACTCGCATTCACTGTCTTTCGACGATCCCATCTACTTGTCATGACACATCACTCACCCTTTGTTTGCAACTATTCTGCGGCCTTCCACCGGCTTCTGCCTCCTCTACCTCCAGGTATAAATAGAGAGCCTCCCCCCTTCACCTCTCCAGCAAACTCTTCCTCCTCCACTCTCCCTCTTCCACACTCTTCTTTGTCCACATTCTTCGTCGTCCACACTGTCTCTGTGACTCTTTACCCCCCCTTCGTTCCCCCCTTTTTGTTTCTCCCTTCCAAACGTCGCCTGATCCATAGAGGTCGTCGCCTTACGATCCAATTTCATCCCAGCCGCCAACAAGCTCCCAGTTCCACTTCCAATAGGATGTCGAAAACTTGCCTGTGACTCCCCCCGAACGCGGAGGAAAAAAAAGAGTATGTCCACGAGCTTAGCCATGAAGGACGTACTATTCACTGTGATGTCAGAATGAAGAAAGTAAGTACGATGTCGGGATCATGTCATCAGATGCATTGTTGAAGCCGGCGTTGACTTTTATCCTAGGTCTGCAACCATCAAGCCACGTCATCGCTGGCTGTACTGTAAATCGGATGTGAAGACCGCTTGAAACCAACTGACATAATCCTTTGACGCGTCTCGGCTGCCTTCTTCTCCGTTCAGAACCTGGCCTCATGGCGCCAAGAACATTGTGACAAGAAAATTCAAGACCGAGCAAGACCATTCGAATTTTGCTTGCCAAATACTCACCACGTACACAGCCCAACATCTTGGCCGGTTAACGACGACGGACAAGGCGTCATAATGTCGTGCACAGCAGAATGTTTCACGCCTCATACAGTACAGCCACACGAGCAGACACATCGGAGAAGTTGCCAAGGAAACAATGCTAAAGCATTTCATGGAAATAAGTAGCGGTCGATCAGATGAGCGACCACTGGTAGCCGTTCGTGTAGGGAAGGGGAGGTAATGGCCTGGAAAGAGGCTCAACTAAATTGGCGGTGGTCAGGCATGACGGTTGGCTAACCCCAATTGTCTATCCTGTTCGTAACTCTTTATTCTCGGAAGTCGTTCTTTTTTGTCGACTGCTGGGGCCTATTACTTGACTTTAAGTACCTTTTGACTTGCAAATTGCATTTACACCCAAATGAGCCTCACACAACGAGTCGCTCTGCAAGTATGGATGCCCGACATGCCAGACAAACTGGTCAATATCGGTCGACACCACGTTATTGTCGCCGTCATCCTCGAGTCATGTTCTTGTGGTGAAGAGCCAATTTCAATCACCCAACAACAACTGAGAGAGAGGTATTTCCAAGGCAGATGGCCAGCAATACGCGCTGCCGTCTGGCCTTAGGGCTCATTACGTCCATTCCAAAGACGGATTTGGGTCGTTGAGAGCAAAGTATAATGCTTTTGAGACACCACCCACAGCGAGATAGAAGTCTGGCTGCTGGTATCAGTCATGGTAGAGACAACCAGAAACAGGAAGCTCTACTCATGAATAACAAAGATAAAAGACTATTGCTTTAGCCGAGGATCAAGGCATTGCATTTCTATATGGCGTCAGAGTCCCACCCCACATCTTACGACGAGGAGGCAAGAGTAACAATACCAATTGCTTGAAGCTGATGTACTTGCTTACAATAAACTAACAACGTCTGGAAACGGAACAGGGTCGGTTCTAGATAAGCATTCCACTTCACTGTCATTCAAACCTAGGAATGGTTCACAATCCGTGATGGAATAGCATCACTTATATTATGTTACACGGATACAACAAGGTATAAGAGCCTGTTGTCGAAGAGCAGCCAAAAGTCGTCGTGACAACTTCTATATCGAGGAATAGTAAGGTATATTTATAATTCATGAAAGGAATGCATCAGTGCGATATACCGGCGATTTATATTCCCAGGAATCGGTGACACGTCTACTCAGGGATTCGGAAATTTCTTTCGATCCGGTTGTTCTACGACAGTTGATAGACAGCCCAACTTCCGCAGGCAATTCTTCGAGCAGCTAGTCTACTTTTTTCGGGTATGCGGCTTGTTGTCATGAAGAATACACGTTGTATGGATCTCCAGAACCACAAATGGATCAAGTGATCAAATACGGCTACCAGTGAATCGCCTACGCGCCATTCTCGAGCAACCTGGCGCCGTATTATGAAGTGCCAACAGAGACGTTTCCATTCTTTAAATGCTTTTTTTCGACCCGGCCTCAAAGACTATTGCAAATGATATGGTTGTGGAAGCCAAAAAAAAAAAAAAAAAAAAAAAAACTTTACATGGGGATTTTGCGACGATCCTTGGCCCGAACAAGATCGACTTTGAGGTAACAAAGGACTGTGGTTGGCAGTGCTATGAAAAAGAGTTATGTCAATGTTAAAAAACAGCCCATTCTCGACGCTGCGCCATGTTGTTATTCCTCCAAAAAACCAAACACCACGAAGGCCGCATAATGGCCTTGTAACATCGACCAATCATGTCATGTTACAGACAACTGTCCACCAGGATGGGAGATCCGTGGTGGGAGAGGGCGAGACTGGGTGAACAAGGCCTCGATTATGGCCCCAAGCCCCTTTTCGATCCATCGTGACCAACAGACGGCTACGAAAATTATGCACAGACGAATGGCGTCTCGATGGCCTGTAGAACCAGCCAGGACATGTGGCTGTCAAACTCGACATTGAGTCGCGGAGCCATCCAGCTATTCAAATGAGAAAAGGTGGATGGGCTCGCCTTCTTATATGTCAGAACTTGATCAGATATTGGTATTTGGGATGGCCACTTTAACAAGCAGAAGTATATTATATCAGAGGCGCCTAGGTCACTCAGCAAAGTTCCTAGAACAACGACGTTCCATCCAAGCACATCAATTGTCTTATTGATCGGAACAAATCCGCTTACGGACTGACCGGAGACGTACCTACGACCCTGTTGTTGACGAGAATGAAACCACGGGACAGACTACTATCGGATGTAAGTCTGACGCGGCAAGTATCTTGCCGTAGGTCATGCCAACTCTCCCTCTTACATACCACTTTCGCACAATTCGGCGCATTGTGGGCGCGTTTTCTCTCGTCAACAACCCACAACAACAAGTCTCTCAGCTCCCGCCGTTCGTCAACCTTTTAGCTGCCTATCGCAGACATGGCCCCAGGTTTTCGGTCAGTGGACGCGAAGTATAGTTGTGAGGACGTGACAGCCGCAATTGCTTTTGACGAAGCGGCTGGGTGGCAGATGCGCCCAGGGCGCGCCGACAAGGGGGTAAGTGATGGAGAGCTGTCTCTAAGTCGACGATATGCTACGAGAGGTAGGCTCCTTGCCTCCGCTGCGTGGCGCGCCCTGGGCAGGATCTCGCAGTAAGTTCCCTTGCGTTGGGGTTAAAGGCAAGGACATTTGCGTGGGGTGCTCCTGTGAAGGAAAATCGTGTCATCCTGTGAGTCTCAGATTCGTCTCCGAAGGCTCGTCGACATACTGACTCTCTCTTGTTAGATCCGGGCCGACCTGCGCGGCATTTGCCAACTAGTGTGGAACACTCAACATGACCTCAGATCGAAATACGATGCCGCAAAGAATCAGAGTGGCACTGTCACTAGCGAGGCGAAGGCGCGGGAGTTGGCCCTGGTCTACGCAAAAGTTCTTGCTGCATCGGATGCGCTGCGCAGAGCGACCGGAGTCTCGTCGGCGGCGCCGCCCAAACCAAAAGATGGAGGCATACACATGGCCGTAGAACCGGCCGTTTTACTGTTTATGTGCACATCTCGACTCTACCGGGAAATGCACCGTGGCGTCCAAGATGCAGAAACGGAGAACGTTGTGGAATCGCCAGCTGTATGAAGACCTGGCCGATTCCTCGGCCGATTCGAAAGCAAAAGGAGACGCACGCCGTACACAAGCCACGACAAGCAGAACCACAGCAAATATCAGGTGCTTTTTGTTGAGTCAATACGACCAGCACTCTGATAAGTTCTGGCCTTTCAAGTGAGCGGACGACCGCCGCGGCAAAGGCTGCAAGTCCACGAGCCGAACATGACGAGATGAATAGTCGCGACAACACAATGCCCAACATGACAACAACACAGAAAGTGCGTCGGTGAGACACTACGGAACAAAGTTCATGCAAAACTGGTTGTAAGCGGCTACATCTCGAAGGCGGAATCAACCACGATAATGGTCCGTCGGCCCAGTGCCGCTGCTGCTCCTGCTCCCCTGGCCCATGACGTCGCTGGGGCCATCATAGTGCCCAACGACCTGGCGCCGCTCCCCTGTTACCGCTGCTTTCGAGCGGCATTTTCGGGCTCCGGCCCGCTGGCGGCCCCGGCCTGCGTGTTCGCGGGGGGCTCCCTGCGGTGCCTGCACACCTCGTGCAGAGGGAAGGGAATTTGTTGGCCGGTAAGGCTCTTTGTACTTAGGATTGCGTGACAGGGTTCCTGCTAACTGATGTAGCTCCCGGCCATGATGGCCGGAGATTGCCAGGCCCTCCTGGCCATAGTGACGGCGGTGCTGGCGCGTATTTGTGGACTCTCCTCTCTCGCCATGGCTCGGGAATACACGAACAAGACTGACGTGTCCGGCTTCCAAAGGGCCATCGACGTTCCACCACCCTCCATGAGCTTAGAAGTGCTCGTTAACAAACAAGTGGAAAGGATTAGACACATTCCGTGCTCCGACAGGAGCAGTCAAATAAAGCGTGCAACTGGCTGTCCACCCGAGCCTTTGTCGCCATTGCATCATCTCAGGCGGCCCTCGTTTTGCGTTATTCTGCTTCGATCACCATTGTGGCAGAGATGTACATGTTTCTTGCGAGGTACGGTGCGACCAGAAAGGACCAACTACTATTTCAAGTCCTGCTCTTGAAGTAGAGGGAAATGACGACATTGACATGTGCGGTGACCATATGCGCAATTATTCCCAGCAGGTCCTAACTGGAGTTGATCTACCATACGAACACAGGAAAGCCAGTAGTACTGGCACATGTTACCGCTTGAACTATCCAAAGAGTCGACGTCGTGGTAGAACTGTGGTCTCGTCTCACCTTATACTGGTTTGGATACGGACCATCTGGGCTGTCTAACGTGGGCCAATTCTATACAAATCGACAACAAATGTCCAGTGCGCTATACGGCGGACCAAATAGGCTACGTCGAAACCAAAGCATCATGTCTGCGTATACCAGATCATGTGGATGAAAAAGAGCGTGACGCCGTTCTTTCTGCAAAGACTGAACCGAGGCATGGACAAAATGCCCACCGAGAGAGAGATCTTTGCCAAGAGGAGAAAGGCATCCGGTGATCAGTCCGCTCCAAGTCAAGACTATCAAAGGTTATGTCTGTCGAAGAAACAGCCCATTTTTCTCTCCTCCGTCCTCCTTTATTGGTAAACGACGCGCTCTGCTTGGCGACGAATGAACAAAACATGGCGAGGAGACCAAAGGTGCACGCCACATCGATGGTTGATGCGCCGTAGTATCGCAACAGTTTGTCAAGATGGCCAACAGGAACAAATGGCGCGACAAAAAACACGAGAATTGTTATAAATGTTTGATGGATAGGTCATCACAATAGATTAGTCTATGAAAAGCACTGGTTTCGAGGGCGAGGGTAGGTGTGTATTATAACAGAGACTAATTCTTACCCCTTCTTCCTAAAAGGAAGAAGGGAGTCCTAGTATTTAAGGAGAAGGTCTTTTCACTAACGTGTCGCAACTGATCCCCAGGTACACGCGTGCGTGACGTGCATCTCCAGCGCCGCCAACAACCTCAATGGCGCCCGTCCTGTCTGGAGTCTGCGCTGCGTGCGCGGCGTCGCCACGAGATGCCAGCGCTGCGAGAACCGTCATTATTCTTGCGAGGAAGTGCCCGCGCTTGTTATGGGTAACGTGCGCGCTGCTCTCCGCTCGATCGCTGATGTGGTTGACCTCTCCATGGGACTCGACGAGGAGTTGTCCCGGGCCCTGCTGCACATCGCTGGTGAGTTCATGCACCGTCTGGTGGTGCTCGTTCGGGGCCACAAGAGGGCCTACGGGCTGGTTACTGGCCCCAATGGGGCGGTGAGTCGGGCCGCCTATGGCGGTGTCGTGATGGAGTCGCGCGCAGCTCGAGACCGCATGCTTCTGGCGTCCAACGATGGCGGCACTAACCCCGAGCGGTTCTATTTGCGACTCGGGGCCGGCGATCCCCTTCATCAAAGTGGCTCGAGGACCGCCGCATTTTCATGGACCTGGTTGGTCGCAATGCGTCCGAACAGGGTCTCTCGTTCGTCCACGTCGACCGTAGCAAGCGGCGCCTTGATCCCGCTCCTCCCTAGCGCGCTTCTGCCGTGGTTCGCCTGTGAGCCGGCGCTGGGCCGCAGGTATGTTGAAGGTTTTTTTTTTTTGTGGGTTCTGAGCGACACGAGTGCGAGGCATGCTCGTTTGCCCGGTGGGAATCATGTGTCGACTCCTGAACGGACACGCATTATGGCCGGCCTTCTCACGTTGATTTGACCCATACATCTGGGCGTTCAACAGAGTCGACGGCAGTACTGGTGTAGCTCGATAGCAACGACTACTGCACATCGAGCCCAGTGGTATTCGAATTCGCGAATGTGTCGGGATTGTGGAGCAAAGGGCAAGCAAGAGCTTTGAATGTCTTGTCGTAGCAACATTTTAGAGGCCCACCAGATCAGTAAAAATCCGTCTCGATGTTGAAAAATATGTGCAAAGTCTCCACCGTCCAATGAGGTTTCAAAGTCACTTTTGTTCTGTTATGACCGACTGCGTGGCATCAGCAGACGACACTGGGTTGCGGAATGAGCAGAACGGGCCTCGTTTAGTGTCACGTTCGGCGACCTTATCCCAACCGTCACCGGAGAGGACAGCAATGCTTGACGTTGGAACCGCTCACCACCCTGGCTCACCGTCTCCATCTAATCAGCCGTTTTGAGGTGGTGACAGACAAACACTGTGGCACGCATGTGCACTGCAAACCAGATAATTAAAGAGAAGAATGGATGCCACAGGAATTGCAACATATTCCGAAGTGCATATGTCGCTTCGACGATCAACAAACGGCCTCGCTGCTCATAAATCGGCGCCGACGTCCATTCTGCACGTCGTTTCTATCCGAGAAGAAAGAAACACACATACGGCAGTCGTACCATGCACAGATCATCGAAACGGGTCGCTGCGAGAGTCTATTCCGCTTCATTGACATGTAGACGTCAACGACAGACTTGTTCGCCAACTTTGCCAGTCGCCATTACTACGCCACCTTTCATCGCCACGACGAAGAAGACCACCTCCCAGGTCTTGCGTATCTGCAACGGTGTCCCCAAGATCATTGTGGTAAAGGAGACAAGATGTTGCACGGAAACCATTCATCACCTTCGAAGTCAGAGTTTCTTGACTATCATGTTGGGCGAGTCGGCCATGTCAAAGGAAGCTTGCAATACTTGTCGAATTCCTTAACATTTGCATCAACCCAGTCAACCATTCGTCGTTGATAAATATCACAGTGTCCTGTCTTCCAAATACCTGGGAGGCCGTCGAGAAGGTATACTCGACAGCACAGCGTTATGGAAGAATCTTCATTCCCGATTCAGACTGTCTGGCTGAGCAGGGCAGAGCCGCAGATGTCCACCGCAGCGGGCGGTCTGTCAGACAAGAGCCTGCAAGTCATTAAAGTTACGTCTGCCGGATTATACTCATCGGCGTTCTCGATGCGTTTTACGTTTTGTGGAGAACATCCTTGCAGCAATGCGCTTAAAGGTACTGTTTGCAGTCTGGTTCAGGCGAGTGGATCACTTCAATTTTCACTCAAAATCGAAATTTTCAAAAAATCATAACTTCACCAAAACATTCTTCAAACAGCTAGGATTTTCAAATTCATTAAATAACTGTAAATAGTATGTAAAACAGTCCCTATAAAAATTCTAATTTTAACAAAACATGGGTAGATAGGAAGTGGAGATTAATTTTAACCTCTCTTTTTCATTTTGTAAAGTTCTACGTATTTAAAAATTTTAAGAAATTTGTTTTATATAAGTTCTATATTACTTGGGTGAATTTGAAAATCCTAGTTGTTTTAAGAATGTTTTGGCGAAGTTATGATTTTTTGAAAATTTCGATTTTGAGTGAAAATTGAAGTGATCCACTCGCTTGTCTGATTCACTCGCTTATCAACCACGTTAATAGATTCCCAATAATTACGACATCGATATATTCTGAATTTCGAACATAATAAAACAATTTTAATTTACAAATTTGGTAGTCATTAAAAACGCTCCTTGAAAAGTACAGTAACGGTAATTTCCACAGTAAAAGTCCCATGAATGAGTTTATCTCTGTGAGTTTATCATTCCATGTAGTTGTGTAATGATGACCTGGAATAATTGTAATCTTACAGGAATAAAGAAAACTTAAATAAAAAAAAGTTTATTTCATAGCATGCAACCAAGGATGCCTCAACAGATCCTCTGCCGAGGGCCGGTCCGCCGGGTCGACCTTCATCATAGTCCTGAGAAACGATCCAAACTCGTTCCGATCCTCCTCGTTGAGTCCTGGCATGAACGCTTCCGACTCCAGGGGCGGCCGGTCGATGGGTTTGAATTCCTTGGGCATCCCTTCGTCGTCAAAGATGCTCTGGACAAGATCTGGGTTCCCGCGTGCTAGCAACTCTTTTGGAAAGGAGCCAAAAAAATGGGCAATCTCGGCTAGGTGCCTCTTCAGTTCGTAATGGCCGTCCGGTGGGACTCTGCCGTCAAACATGCGCACCGCGCGATAGAGCTCCAAAAGCAGTGCGCCCAGGTTCCACCAGTCCGCGGGCATATGCCAGGGTGCTCGAATCAAGACTTCTGGGGCGCGAAGAGCGACAGGCTGGATATGTTCGGTGAGGTGCTGTGTGGTCCAGCTCGCCACCCCCCAGTCGCCTAGGACAATATCAAACTTGGCGACCCTCCTCGAGTCTGCCTCGCCAAAGTAGTAGCCACGAAGAGGTTGAGAGGGAACTGGAGAGTATCTCTCTTCGGTTTTGTCTTGTTGAGGGGTGGGAACGTTGACGAGGTATCGTGACTCAATGAGAGACGTGTCTCGGAACCTGACAAAAATATTGCTCGGCTGGATATCTGCCAATCGTCTGTCAGCCTGGTGGAAGGGAGGGTACGTGTTGGTCTTGGGAGTCGTAAAGAGAATAGAAGTCCCCAAAAAACACACCTGTGTGGATGACATTGTGATTATGTGCAAAATGGACGGCCAAGACGAGTTGGATGGCGAATCTGCGCATTACCGGGTACGGCAGCCTGTCCTCCTTGAACCACGCACCAAAGCTCCGCAGCGTTTCTCCCATGAGCTCAAACACAAGGCAAACATGGGTTCCATTGGGGCCGTAGTGTTCAAAATCATCGACGAGGTGGCAAACATAGGCGTAGCCGGCATCTCCCTTGTCTCCGTCACGAAGATGCGCAAGGATCTCTCTCTCAAATATGGGCCGGTCTCCTCCATACGACTCGGCACTCAGCACCTTCAGAGCCCGGAATCTGCGCTCATCATTGTCCCTGGAAGCCATTATTCCAGCATCGTTAGTATGTGTCATTTCTCCTTTCTCGACATTCTCGTCAATTTATCACCAGACAACCATGAACTCACGATTTTGTCACGTCTCGGACCAGCCAGACGGTCGAGTACACCCCGAATCCAATTTTGTTCAAGATTTTGTACTTGCCCGCATACACGTCGCCGATATAGACTGGGTGGAATCCACCCGTGCGATACACTTCGGCGCCTTCTTCAATGTTGCTTGGAGCGGCGTCCGGCTTAGGCGTCTCGTTCCGTGGACTAGGCCGAGATGTCGGAGTTTCAACCTCATCAGATGCCATGATAAGTTGACGAAGAGGACGCAGATGCAAACTAAAGTCTGAACGGGGCGCGTTTACGGTTATGCGGACAGCCAGGAGGATGTGCTGTGTATGTGACAGCAAAGCGGCGTAGACTTACCCGCTGAAATAATGGAGGGGCACACGATGCACCAATAACTGTGTTTCTGTTATGTTACTATGCCCGTCGCCTTTTGGCTTGCATCCACTTGATGCAGGCCGCGATGTTTGACCAAACAAAAGGGAATAAATAATTGATTTTGATATTTTCTGTAAGGCAGGGAGACGCCGAACCACGCGTTCTAATTAGATTTGGTAGTAAAATTTTACGTGTCTGTTGTGACCTGCTGCTTGAGACTTCCACCAATTTATTTTCCCGGACCCGGCGGCAGTTCTGCCTGTTGTTTACCGGTAAACATAGGACTTATTTCTCCTCATCACCTCTCCCAATCGCGCAGCAGTCGAGTAATGGAAGGAAAGTAGACACAAATAGTCACGGCTTTGGAACTGGTATGCCACCACTACCTGATGTGGCCGGAATTCCATCACTAGAAATCAGTGTCGAGGTTATTGTAGCAGTTCTGCAACTGTATTTATTGAACGACTTCTCGTTTAGCACCGGCAGTGGGTGAATAACGACCAGACATATCTTGGCACAACTTATTATATACGTGAACCATATTCCGGACAAGTATGACGTAGCACGCAATTGTCTTTTACCGCACAGCTGCTGTGAAACTGTTGAATAAAATGTGTCTTTAATTCCTTCAATACCAATTCCCAAGGGCAGTGTTGGCCCACGAGGACGGTAACAAAGAGGCTATGGCTACCCCTTTTGCTTTTGCAGTTCGAGCCTCCCAATGGTCGCCGTGCTGCTCCCCACGTTTTGCCTCCGGGCTACTCGGGTGTGCTTCGGTGCTTTCCCTTTCGCAGTCTTATGTCTGCATGTGTGCTTCCGTATTTATCAGGTCCTTTTCACGCATCCGTGGATGGCCACTTTTTGTTTGAAACATGGTCAGAACGCGTGTCTTAATTTTTCGCCTCGTGGTCTCTACAAACTATTCCAACTCTATTGTACTCAAGTGGTCCGACCATGGCGCAGTGGATCCGGAAGAGGCGGCATTGTCATTAAGGATGGTTTGCCGTTCAATGCCTGAGCAAACAAGCACATCGTTTCCGACTCCCCCATCTCCTGCATCCCAAGCTCATCCTCGCGATCCTCCGCCCAATTTTTCAGCCATTGGGCTGGTTTCCTTTTGATTTTGCGCACGTCATGCAATTTACGTCATCCCGAATGATACGAAGACGGAGAACGACCTTCGCCCTCCCACATTTCCACGCACTCACCGAGCCATCCGATGCTGATGCCTGGGGTCATATACCACGGGTCCGGGCTCTACAAAGGAGCGAAGGAATCAGACACTGTGATCTATTGCGGTCCCAAGTGGTTCAATGTGGTTTAAAGTGGTTCAGGTGGCTCAGGTTTTCAAAGTGGTATATCGTATAAACACGGTTGAGACTGGCCCTGGATTGGCAGGGCTGACCCGGCTCCTGCGACTCCGCCACGAAAGGAAATCCCCAAACAAAGCCAACCATAGCCAAACAATGCCAAAGACACAAAAGAGAGCAAGATCTGCACTGCGTTGCGTCCAGCTTGAGACGATGGCGGTCTAGACCACGAATGCACGTTTAACGGGGCGCAAAAGAAATAGAAAAAGGCTGCAGAAACAAGACAACAAACGACAAGGGGGCCGGTAATACCGCAGCAAACCGTCCAATACTTCAAATACTCGACTCCATACTACGACGTAATATTCCGTCAGCCCCGGAGCCTTAATTCGGGAACTCGCAGGTAATCACCGAACAGGGCGTAGTTGCCGCAATTAGGCACCGTCGGTTCGCCTGCGCCTGCCCTACGGAGTACATCGTATCGTGGGTCCTCGAGCCTTGGCACCTTCCCTTGCAAGCCTTGGAGGGCTCCTTCTGCAAGCACGCCTTCAGGACAGCCCTATGGTTGGAAGGAAGGCCAGCCTCCACTTTATGATCGCAGGGATAAGCGAAGATCGTCAGACGACGGCTCTTCTGGAGAACGAACGGCAGCCATGCTGACCGCCGTGGTGCTTTGCTGGAACAGAATACAAAGGAGTAACGCCGCTGCTCAACACACTTACATGGATATAAAACAACGACGCCCTCAACTGACAAGGCCAACGGACCTCCATCTCACCACGATCGATCACAACCACCAGTCTTCTTCCACCAAACCAATTCACTCCATCCCTTTCTTCCCACCCATCCATCATGGTTGCTTACACTCGTGCGCTGGCCGGCGCCGTCGGCCTGCTCGTTCCCCTCTACGAGTATCCTACCGGCACCACCGCCACGGCCGACTGGACCGCACTCATCGCCGCCATTGACGCCCACCCCCAGCTGCCCTTTTACGTCGTCATCAACGACGCCAACGGCCCGCCCTACAGCCCCAACCCTCCCGCCAGCATACCCGACTGGGCCCAGTGGATCGACGCCCTCAACACCCGCAGCAACGCCAAGACCATTGGCTACATCTACACCTCGCGGTCCACCCGTGCCTACAGCGACCTCACCGCGGCTGTCGACCAGTACGCCAGCTGGACCACCTCGGCCGGCTTCACCACCAACGCGTCGCGCTACGACATTCACATTGACGGCATCTTCTTTGACGAGATTGACACCGTGCCCGCCAAGCTGACCAACAACACGCAGCTGACGACATACGCCAAGACGGCGTTTGCCGGGCGCGGCGGCCCCGTCGTCCTCAACCCGGGCACGCTCGTGCAGGCCGGCAGCGAGTCGCTGTTTGACCTGGCCGACTCCATCCTGCAGATCGAGACGTGCTACACCAACACGACGGGCGCCACCGACCCGGGCGGCATTGTGCGCTGCCCGACGGGCGGCTACGCGCCCTTTACCCCGGCGCTCGCGACCACCGTCGGCGACGCCGCGCGGTCGGCCAAGTCGAGCATTGTCGTGCACGACTTTTACGAGACGTGGTCGCCCTTTGCGCCCGCCTCGCTATCTGCGCTGCAGACGGACATTGCCGCCGTCGTCCAGCAGGGCGTCCACAGCTTCTACTTTACCGTCTACGGCTACACCACCGACTTTACTGCCTCGCCGGCCAGCATCACCCAAGTCGCAGACTATGCTGCCCAGCTGCAAGGTCTGGCCTAAACGAGGACGAGTCTTTGTCTGTTTGTCGTCTGTTTATTGATATTTTATGACGACACATCACAATCACATAGACTCTGGTGATGGCAAACTTACATTCCATAGCATATGCCAACCAGCCCACGGTGTCAAAACGGCTCTTCCCGAAATGAGCAACCACAACATAATGATACATAAACAAGAGTGTGTGTGCTCTCCAATGTCCCGGTGAATAAGCATGCCTTCGTGACTGTGTAAAGTGAATTATTACAAACTCGTCAGCGAGCCAGTATGCTAGTCTAGGCTCATGAGTGCCTCATCACCATAGCCCCAGCTGCTGGTTCCGCCGCCGCCGCTGCCGTGTGGCTTGACGCCGAGGCTCGAACTGAGCATGTCTGCCTCTTCCTCGGCTTCACTGCTGCGTCGGGAGCGCCCGTCGTTGGCTGGAATCGCCGTTGCTGTGGCTGCTGTCGTCACGGCCGGTGCCGCACTGCCCCGTGAGCTGGTGTCCGTGACGCGCCGCCGCAGGCCAGGTGCGCGGAAGCGCGTGGACTTGGACGATGTCGACATAATGGATGCCGTCTCGGAGCCGTCTCCGCCGTCTACGCTGTCGATTGCACCAGCTGACGCGTCACCGCCGCTGGCGATGCTCGCCGATTTGGTGGCAGGCTTGCTGTCGGCTGCACCGTTAGTGCTGGCCGCCACACCCGCGTTGGTGCCCTCTGAACCCGATGTCGCTGCCGTATGGGTTGTCAGAACAGTGCCCGCTTGCGATGGTGCCGGCGAGGAGGATCGTTGTGCAGAGGATATGGATGACTGTGCCGCATCACCGGGTGTTGCGGTGCCATTGGCGCCGACGGTCTCGTCGGTTTGGGAGCTGGCGGATGCTGCTTCGTCTTCGAGGTCCACCTCCACTAGCTCGGCGTCGCGGTACCACTTGCGCCGTCGTGTCCAGCGCGTCCATCCGTCCTGGCCGCGCCGACCGCCCTGCCATTTGTTGTCGTAGTACACCCATCCCATCCGCCCACCCTCGCCGTCATAGTCCCAGGTATCCATGTGCTCGCCGTGCGCTCCCGTCTTTTCCACCCGCACCGCATCGTCCACCACGCCGTCCACGCGCCAGCGGCTGTTCTCGACCCACCGCCACCGCATCTTGCTGCCGTCTTCGACTTCGGGCAGCTCAAACTCGTCCTTGCTAGGCACGGCGTTGTTGTGCTCGTCCGTCCACGCCGGGCGCTCGTAGGCAAACAGACTGGTTGTCCACCCCAGACCAACCCACCGCCGCTGGTTCTCGTACAGAATGAACGTAAACCGTACGCCGGCGTCCTGTCCTGCGCGGGCGCGTCGAATCGCTTTTGTGAGTTCCGACTCGCGCGGCGTGGACAGCCGCCGTCCCGGCTTTGTGCTAGACAGCTTCGACTGCAGCGCAGCTGCTGCTGTGGCCGCCGTCGTCGAAGGGTCCGACAAGTTTGACCCTCCGGCCGTCACATACGACGGTGCCTTGGACGGCCGCATGGGGCCCTCAAACTCGAGACCCGTTACCAGCGCCGCCGTCCGCCGAATGCTGGCGCTGCGCCACAGGATCGTTCGGCTCACACGCATTACGCGCGAGTGCCATGTCAAGATGAGAGTGCCGAGCACCAGCGCTACGCGGCGTGTCGTGACAAGACGCATGGGCGCCAACGTCAATAGGTACCAAAATGGCGTGCAGAGCAAGATGCGCACAAACAGCACCGTCAGCGCCGGCCGTGTCGTCGCACTTGTTGCCGTACTCTGTGTCGACAGGAAATCCGTGAGCCCCAGCAGCGGCTCAAGCAGAAGGTTGCAGCGGGCGGTAAACTCGCCCAGCGTGTCGACAATCTCGTCCAGCGTCTTCTGGTGTCGCGCGCTGGCCACCGCCTCGGACGCAGAGCGCTGGTGGCCGTTACCACCTCCGCCGCCGCCGCCACCGCTGCCATTGCCACCAGCTTCGACGCTTCCGTTGGCCCCACTGCGCCCCTTTCCCGATGTCATGTGGCTGGCGCCCGCGCCGTCGAGGCTATGATTCTTGGTCCGAGACCGAATTTTGCCCGTCGCCTCACGGCCAGTCGTTTTCGCATCGCCGCTCGCGCTGCTGCCACCACCGATTCCAAAGAGGAAGTAGCCCAAGCCGCTGCCGCTGGTTGTGCTGCCACCACTTCGACTGTGGCTGCCGCCGCCGCCAGCACCACCACCGCCGCCCACAACGCCGTCTTCGCTGCTCCAGCCGCTTGTCGACAGAGGGCTGTACCGTCGGCCGTACATACCGCCAATCAGAGTGAGCACAAAGAGGATGGGGCCGGCCAGCCGAATGATGGTGTCGCCATACAAGACGACCAGCCACCACAGGAGCACAAGGAGAAAGCTCTCCCACGGGTCGCCTGTCGTCCAGGTAATCAGGCCGGCCAGTTTATTGAGAGGAAGGAGGTACGGGTGGCTGTAGGCCAGCGCGCGTGTGATTTGGGGTGGGGTCGCGAGGAGGAGCGGCGATTTCTGGTGGACGAGGATGGTGCTTCGGCGTTTCGCCGCCGCGGAGGTGTTGTTGTTTTTGCCGGACAGTGCGTTTGCGGGGGAGAAGGTCGCATAGGTTGGCTTGGGGTTGGAGGAGTTATTGTGGTAGGAGTCGTAGCCGCCACTGCCGCCGCCGCTGCCGCTGCCGCCGACACCGTTGCCATTGTTGCCGCCGTCATGGTCCCCAGACAGGCTGGGTGACGCAGGACTGGAGTGGCCGTGTCGGTCAGACGAGTCGGGGCGGAGGAACGAAGAGCGCGGAGCGGACATGGAGAGCCAGGGCGTGTCCTAAGGCAGAAAGGCCGAATGTCCCGCGTGTTAGACGAGGTCAGATCAATTAGGTCAATTAGGCAGACACGATGATGTCAGGGCATTCAATGGTACGCCCGTGAATGCCGCGACGACGTAAAGGCCATGGGAGGCCACATGGGAGAGATGAATGGCTGCTTGTGAATGAAGTCCCATCAAGGGTGGAAGTGCGAAGGGATGGTGGGATGAAAAACAAAAGAGTCGGGTACAAAGGTGAGGGTGTGCGGAGAGGAGGTGTCGAGCATTGCACGAGAAATGGCTGACGTCGTTAAGTCTGACCTCGCTGTTGTCCTGCTGACTGGAGACTGGTAGAGAGGCTTAAGTCCCACTTTTTCTGGGCCAACGCGGTATTCGGTAGAGCCTACCCAGCCACTTTGCTGCCGGCCGCTTTTGGCTCGGAGTTTTGGCAGGTGCCTACCAGCCGCTATCCCCAGCTTCCTGGTCATTAAGCGCCCCAGAAGCCGCCAAATTGGCCCGAATGACCCCAGGATGAATACAATGCAGGAGCGACAGGGAACAAGTCAGGTGGTTTGCATATAAAATTGCGGCGGGAAAGCACGACCGCTATGGACGTTCACATGCAAGGAAGGCACAGAGGGCCGTGGGAAGGAAAGACCGTGCGGAAATGCAGTGGCACAGGAAGGCGAAATGAAGAACGGGAGAAGGAAGGACCGTCCAGGCTCTAGTGGGCGATTGCGTAACTTACAAAGGCAGCCATCTACCGGCGTCGGACGGTCAAGTTATCGAGTCGAGCCTCGCCGACGAGAAATCAGGAGCGGGTATTCCCAGCCCTCGCTGCCGACAGATCGACTGGGTCGCTCTTGAAATGCGTTCACAATTGCCGCCTCGAAGAAAGACAAGGCGGCGCTGTCGACATTGGGAAGCGAATCTCGGTCGGAATGTCGTGGTCGAAGCACGTGCCTGAAGCGCAAACTGGGAGGGATTCTGGTAGAAGAGAGGGCTGGATGGGCGAGATGACGTCGGTGTGTGAGGGGAAAGGGGGTGGTTTGTGTGAGCTGTGCGAAGTCGTCGTCGTCGTCGAGTAAAATGTATGTTGAGGTGAGAGAATGCGATCGCAGCCCAGAGCAAGACGTCAAAATCGGAGAGGTAAAAGAGACGCGAAGAAAGCACAACGGATCGAGCCTGCGTCTTCTGTCCCGCCACTGGCAGCCCTGTTGGCAGCGTCTTATGCCAGTCCGCCCACTGCTTCCGAGAGTCACCCGCCTGTAGCCGACCCACCCAGCGCAGAATAGCTTACTTTTTCGTCCTTCTGCAGCAAAGTGTCACGATTCACATGTGATTGCAACAGCCAGGATTTGGTCGACTGAATTGACAGCAATAACACATCCACACAAACACATGTAACTGGTTGCTCTTTGCTTTGTTATCAGCGTATAGGTGATTACCTGCTGTTATTTTTATTCTCCTTTTTAGTTTTCAATTAGTTTAAAAATATTGCTTATCTACCACTGAGAACATTTTCTTTGAGCATATTGATGAAAGGTTCATTCCATATAGATGACATAATTGTATGGGCAAACAGAAAGACAACAAATACAACAACATAAACAAACAATTGTAACAGTTCATCCGACCCCTGATGTTTATCTGAACGTCAGTCCTTGACAACCAGTAAATGGTAGATTCGAATTAGGGAGTGTAAGTTCTCCCCAGTTGATGCCATTCATCCCTTCTCGATTCGACGTCCGTAAATCGAGAATCATGGTGCGTGGAATGTGTCGAGCAGACGAAAAAAAGACCACGTCGATGCAAGTGAAAAAGTGAAAGCATTAAAACAACAACGGACCGGTAGGCTTCCGTCTAGGTGTGAGCTGCTCCAGTGACAAGTAAGACGGAAAAGGACGCATACTCAATCTCGTCATGATCGGAACAGTCGGAAGTCAGAAAGAAGAAAGAAAGATGAACAAAGACACTGAAGCATAGTACTAAACAAAACAGTATAGCGGTGACTGTGTATGGGCCACTGCAAACTCAGTATCAAGAATGACTGTACGGTACTGACAATCGATGCGAAGGCGGAGGCGAAGAGCGAGTGATAAAAAGGCAAGAGCAGCTGCGCAACAGTTGGGCTTCTTAAATTCGAACATAGTGTTGGCATAGTGTTGGGTGACCATGATCTGGTCTTCTCCATTGTTGAATGAAAGAGCTCCCGACAACCCGTCATTCAAGCGTCAGACGCATCATCCGAAGCCTTGTGAAGCAGCGACACAGGAATCGGGCTCAAGATGTGGCGATGCATCAAAAGGCCGTCTTCGCTTCCTGGGGATGGACTGCGTGCCTCCGGACGAATCATGACGTAGGAGGAAGGTTCCTTATCATCAGCATCGCCAAGATCCTCAGCGACATTCTGTCTTGTCTCGAGTATCTTGACTTTGTCATCGCCAGAGACATTATCCGAAGCGTTGCTGTCCGAGATGTTGGATTTCGCGTCGGCGTCGATGAAGATTTGAAAATCGACGACAGAGTCACGACCGTTGACAATTTCGTCCTCGGACTCAAGAGGCTGTAAGATCCCAATGCCCGACGTATCGGATTTGGACTCCTCGTCATTTTCCTTGGATTCCGCTTCATCGTCAAGGAATGCTCTGATGGACTGATACTGGTCGTCGAGCTTGAATGGCGACGCGAGCGGCTGATTAGTAGTCGTGGCGTCGGGAGCGGCTGGGGCAATATTAACCTCCCGGGCAAGAAGGAACGTCAGTTGACGGCACCGTGCCCAGGATTCCTCACGAGCTTGAATCTTAGCGGGATCAACGGGCTCGGAAAACGGGGCAATGACTGTGATGTGCTTCGTTAGGATATATGGCTGGCAGTAGGGTGATGCAAAGAGTGCTGGGGTGGCTTACAATTCGCAGGCGATTCGAAATAGTAACGTCCAACATTGGGAGGAGTGGAAGGAACAGGGGCCACATTCTCATCACCATATTCCGACTCCGTTGCGGCGGGCTCTGTCAGACCGGGGTCAATGAAAGTGACCACGTCGCTCTCACTTGCGTCTTGGCTCGGACTGCGTTGGGATGGAGATTGTTCTTCCACAGCATCACACGAGGCACATGCGCGGCCGTCGTTTTCCGCTGCCAGAGCAGCTTGGTCTTCGTGGACAGCTCTTATATCAGCTAACAACCTGTCTAAAGTTTCGTTCTCGTCGACAACTGGGTCGTACTATGTATCCCAGTTGTTTGACTTGAATGAAACGACCACGTCACTTTTGTTCTTGGCACGTCCCTCCGAGTCAAATAAAAGATCACTTTTTTCTGCCTCGCTATCGGGAGATTGAGAGCGCTGGCGTTTGGTCGGCGGGCCGGTGCCAGATGTGTCCGAATCGCTTCGTGCGCGCTTCATGGGCCGCTTCCCGAGGGTGGTGATTGAAACCATCTTATTGAAGATGATATTCGTGTCGTGAAAGTATGTGATATTGAGAAGGAGGGTTTAAGATGCGACCAGTGCTGAAAAAACAAGGCTGAAAAGCCGCCGAGCGTAATGGTCGGGAGGGAAGGATGGTCAGAAACCAGAGAGTAGGCAACTGAGAAGGATGGAGAGATCTTTGGAGTGACCTCGAGGTGAAGTGACAGATATAGAAGACGAAATATATAAAGTATAAGAATAAGAAGAGAGAGAACGTGGAGGGCAGATGATAAGGGGGGATGGGAATGACGAGAAAGTAGACAGAAGAGAGAAGATGCACTGAGAAAAGAGAGTCAGATGATGACACAAAACTCGCGAAGATAGTGAGATACTCTCTGATGAAGACGATGGCGACATGGAAAGAGGAGGTTTGGTTTTGGAACGAATCGGGGGGCTGACTTCAATTTATGTGTCGCTGCCTTCTCTACCTTTGCTGGAACTTGCAATATACAATATAATTCTTGTACGTTTTCAAACTACCAAAGTAAAATAATTTTGAACTTCGTGCGGTAGTTACCAGATACGGTTGTGGCCATTGACAATCTCCTGAGAAAATGAGATATTGCATCTTGATGTAAACAAATACACATATCGGACATTTCGCTAACTAATATTGTGACACATGCCCGACCCCAAGTTCAAAGTGACTTTCCCCATCAAAGTGATGATAAGAGATGATATGCCACTTGCCATAGATCTACGTTCGATTGTCTGTGTGAGACTGTGGAATACCTTGTCATACTCCACCTTGTCATACTCTGCCTCCTCGGATTCGAGTGCTGCGGTGACACAAGCAAACGAAAATAAAGTGGGTTTACAGCAAGGTGACGGAACGATACCAGCCACTTTCTTTGTGATTTGCTAACCTGTGAATCTCTATTGAGGTCGTCAATAGGAAATCGAGGCCTCGATGAGAGAACTATAGGAATACGGGAGCTTTCGGGTGAAAACACAAGAGCATTGCCGAAGAAGTGGAAAAGAAGCATTGGAGCAATGGAGTTTCGTTTGTCATCCAGATGTCGCATAACTGACAAAAATTGAACTGAACGGCTAATTGCATGCATCAAATAACCAGTGACACGGTTCTTGACCACAGCCGTTGTGACGAACATGTCGAGAATCAAGATAGGCTGCACGAAACGGCGATGCTCCGAGAGGCGACGTTGACGGTTGTGACGATCGATGCACATCGCCGTGGTGGACCCACTTTTTATGTCACAGAACATTCTGCCACTGATTGCAGTACGGAATACGCCACGCGCAGAGTCCAAATAGAGTATTGCGTTGTACCACGCTCGGTTGTTTGCTTCGTGGCTCCGTTAAAACATCTCTAATTCATTATTTGTGTATCATTTTGGACCACGGCGGCCTGGCTGTCAAGTTCCAATATTTGCCATGGACGAATTCAGCAAGCGACCGTAGCCGCAGTTCTCTAATCGCTAAAAGTTAGCAACGGTAAAGCCCACGCCACAGCGCCGCTCCCCGAGACTAGGCGCTTTCCGGCGACTTGCAGCATTGTCCCCGCCTGATGCACGCGGACGTGTTCCCCTAGTGCCATGCCTCTACGTCGTATTTTCTCTCAGCTTTGTCTGACCGACACTTCTCTCTTTTGAGCAGCCCTTGGCGCCCGAGGCCTTTGCCTAACACCCCACTGCCGTCAAAAGCACGCGGATATACGGAGTACATTGTAAGGCGATTATTCATTTGGCAGAGTCTTTTGCCGTCGGTTTACGGAGTAGAGGGGATGACTCGGCCGAGTGTCGTCGACTCCGGGAGGAAAACGAGACGGCCGCCACCGGTGGTCCGTCGATCATTGTCCTCCATGGAGATGGCACAATGTCTGAAATCTCACACCCACTTCGCACAAATTCCCTCTTTCTTTGGCGAAGCACCACAGAACAAAGGTGGGTCTCGTTATGCGTGAACGTCTTGGTGGCGTCCAATTGCAACCCAATCGCAAGCATGTTCTTGCTTCGCAAAGGACAGCACATGCAGCCGAGTGCAACTGCAGCCGAATGAGGAAGGCTCCTTCCGTGCGTCAAAGAAGCAAAGACCACAAACAGGAGTTTCTCTCAAGGAAAGTGCTATCGAACGGCGCCCTTTGTTCTTTCCGCTTTGTCGCGCCGTCGCAAGTGGGAAGGGGAAAGAGCGCGGCCACGCTTGCCTTTTGAACTTTCCTTCTTTCCTCCCTTGCTGAGGCGGAGAAACCCAGCGCAGTCTCTTTCCTGCCACGCCAACAGCCAACCGCAGCATTTGTAAGGAGCATCACTGCGACAGTCCCCGTAAATCATGGTTCCATTCTGTTTGGTGCTCTTCTGTCCTCTTCTTCCTCTTTTGTCTCGAAATTTACAATTCCGTCTGCTCGACCATCGCCCGTGGCTTCTGTCAAGACTTTTGCGCTTGTCGACCACAGCATCTTCTTTTTCTCTTCTCCATCGCTTGCCGTCTCTGTTTCTTGCGCCCTTGTGGGTTGCGCTCCACCCCCCTGTCATTCTTTTGTGGCCCACTCCATCACGCATTCCACATCCAACAACGGTTGTCCCCGCCCCATCCCGAACCCACATTACGAAGTACGACTCTCCCTGTTGTGTCTAGCGCTGTATGATGTTCGTCCGCCTGTTCACTAGATCTTACTGGACGGCTTCCCTGAACGGAGCAGGTCGTAAGCCTCCGGAACTCCAGGACCAACTACAACATATTCGTGGGGGTAAGTGAGTAGAGGGAGGGGTTGGTCCCCTACTTGTGCTTTTTCAGGTTTACTTTAGTGCTTTCGTGCGAACAGGGGCCACTTGCTGAAGCGCCTGCTTAATTGGCGTTTCCTACCCGTCTCCTTGCTCGTTCTCTTCCCTCCCAATCTCTATCAACTGTCTAATTTCCACTTTCCACGGCACGCAGCGGTCGACCTTCCACGTTCCACCTGCTGCCCTTTTTTCTTTCGACGCGCATCGACCACGGGCGTGACGATCCTCAGGACCGACCTTGTACGTCGAACGAAGCACCTGTGGTGGAAATCGTCAGAAGTCAAGAGGAGATAACCGCGCCGGCCGTCCATGACCGTCTCCAAAGACGAACCACAGTCGGCCCCGGATTACGGAGAACATCATACAGGGTAGACGAACACACGAAGCAGACATGGCGGACACGACGAAGCCAACAGAAGAGGCCGGATCGCCTGCTGCCGCTGAAGCCACAGCACCACCTCCTGTCGCTGCTGCCGCTGAAGCCTCATCACCACCTGCTGGCGCTGCCAAGTCACCCAAGTCACCCAATTCACCTCCAGGGACAGCATCGCCAAGGTCAGGGACGGGCATCGCTGCTGACAATGAAGTAATCGATGCGGAAGAAGTTGTATGTCAGCCTTCATTTCTTTGACCTCTGTCCGCTGATATACTCCCACAGCGACGTGAATCGTGACCATGCGCTAATTTTTATACTATCAGGATAACGACGATGAATCCGCACTCGCCGACTCCATGTAAGGCATCCCCTTCTACATCATGATTTGTATCAAAAACCTGACACAATGTAGCGCCACATACACTACCTCCCTCACCTCAAGCATCTTCAACTACCCCGTCGAATATGGCCGCCGGTACCATGCCTACCAAGACGGCAGTACGTCACTGGCCGTTGCGATCTTCCCTTCTTTTGTTACTGAGTTGAATGACTAATATATCCCGTACCGCAAAGGATACACAAGGCCAAACGATGAGTTGGAAATGGACCGTCTTTTGCTCTTGCACACAATTGTCACCACCGCACAAGGTGGATTGTATCAGGCACCCATCGACGTCGACCGGCCGCAGCGCATCCTCGATATTGGCACTGGCAACGGCGTCTGGGCCATTGAGATGGGCGACCTGCTACCCAACTCCATCGTTATCGGCAACGACCTCAGCGCCAATATGCCTGCTTTCGTGCCGCCCAACGTCAAATTTGAGGTCGACGACGTCGAGAACGAGTGGATCTACGACCAGCCGTTTTCCTACATCTTCTGCCGCTACATGGCTGCCAGCATCAATGACTGGCCCCAGCTGATCCGCCGCACGTATGACAACATTGAGCCAGGCGGCTGGGCCGAGTTCCAGGACTTTGACCTAACCTATTATTCGGAAGACGGCTCCCTGGGCCCCGAAAACCCGCTCCTCGTCTGGATCACGAGGGCCTGCAATGCTGCCGAAGCCATTGGGCGGGACACGCGACCTGGGTCCAAACTGAAGGGCTGGTTCGAGGAGACCGGTTTCACCAACATCGTCCACCGCCGGTACAAGCTGCCCATTGGCACATGGCCCCGCGATCCCGTCCTCAAGCAGATTGGTCTTTACAACTACATGCAGATCAACCAGGGACTGGAAGGCCTCTCCATGCGCCTCTTCACAAATGTGCTCAAGTGGACCAGCGAGGAGGTCGTGGTGATGCTGGCCAATGTGCGCAAGCAGCTGCACGACCCGACCATCCACGCCATCCTGGACTAGTATGTTGGCTCAACCTCAACACCTTGAAGACAGCTCGAAAGAAGATTGAAAAACATGAATGTTCACTAACCTTGTTAGCCACGTTGTGTACGGCCAGAAGCCGGAGTGACCCGAACAGTCTTTCTCTAGCCCGTTTCCATTGCTTTCCATTCGTCTCTTGCGTATTTTTGGAGACCCCCATGACAGTCTTACCATTCAGTTTTGTGCTTGCCTTCACTAGCGAGTTCCCACAGCATGTTTGATGACCTTCGTTGGACTAAGGTTTTTTTTTTTTTTGGTCTTCTTTTTCTGCATAGAAGCGGGCCTGTGTGGCAGCTTTATGACAAATATTTACAGTTATTTTATTGTTTTGACCCAAATCGGCCTTGCATCTAGGCGGCGTGGATGTTTTGTTGGATACCAATGTTTTCCTCTACTTACCAACAGGACAGCCAATGCAAAATCGTGTACAGAGCTTATGCTTCGCCATCGCGCAACTCTGCATCTTGTGGTACATTTTGCGGTGTCGACATGTGTACAACCGCGACGCCCAGGAATCTCAGGAGGAATAGCCTTCGTATTGTGCACAGACCGCAGGCCGTCTGTGTTCAATATTGACGTTTGATTTGCAAAGTGTTTTTATTGCTAGCCAAGCCGTGGTGCTAGCAGATGGGCGACCGGTCCAAGCAGGTACCAAATGAATATGAAGTCGGCGCTTCTTCCAGCTTGTCTCGTCTTTCTGGATGCCCGATCACGTCGATGTTCCACCGGAAGAGACGGAAAGAAACAAAGCGACACGGAGACACCGATGGAAACATTCTAGAAACGGACAAGGGCTCCACGTTTCCCCAGTGCCAATGCTGCAAGATGAGAGGAAGGGACAGGATATCGGACCCAGGAGTAGGGGACCACGAATGGCGTGACGTGCAGAGTGCTGAAAGGTTAAGCTACAGAGCTGGGGCCTTATTTTTGAACTGGGTTCGTTTGGGCCGCCCCGTCTGGTCCCATTGAGAAGCTGTGGAACAATCGCAAGACGGCTCGCTTCTTGTCTTCACCCGGGGTAGTACATGCAGTGTGGGTTGTCTTGGCGAGGTGCAATCCGGGATGGCGACAGGATGACTTGGGAGGAGATTGAAAGGGAGAAATATTGGTTGAAAGAAACGAAGCCTGACGGATGCTGGGGCTTCGGATCCGAGCGACCTTTCCTGCCTCCTTTCAATGCATAATGCTAACAAGTGCGGTCTGTGATTGGCTGCCTAGTTCGACATCCACAACATTGATGTGAGGGATATCCTTCTAGAACAACTGGAAGAAAACGACGACCCTTCTACACACATTTGACGTCTCGACGTCTGACAAAGTTGTACGGGCTCAAAAAAAAGGAGATTAACAAAACTCCAATCCGCGGTGCACGCAAATGAGTTCCCAGGTGGAATTGATTCCGAATTTACTTGGCAAAGGTCTTCCTTTCCCTTGCAGTTGCCCCTCCTCACTGGCTGCAGGTCGTGCATTATCCCCCCACCCAGCATGAAGAACACGTCCTTTTGACTTTGTGGGTGACTCTGGACATGTTGTCTTCCTACGAGCAAAGTCGACGGCCGTTTCAACCGATCCTGATTGCTTCCACCGCGTCAAGCGCTAACGTTGAAACCAAATTCAACAAAAATGAACGACCGTCACACAGCACGGCCGAAATGGGCAAGGTCAAGATGCATGGATGTGTGTGGAGCTGCTCGTCCCTTTGCTTCTTGATGATCACGCCGTCGTTGAACAGAAAAAGCGGCAATCTGCATAGTTAGGTAGCCATCATGTGGGTCTTGACTCAGTGCTCAGTGACCGTGCCTCCTTAAGCGACGAACCTTTGTGGAACGTGACGCTCAGTGGTCCTCTATTTTACCTATCCCCTTTTCTCCTAACCGTCCACGAGGACTTCCGTTCTATATTGCGCTGCTCTGTTTTACGTATTTAAGATGGAGGTGCTGCCCTTATCCTCTGTATGTGGGATAGCTAGAGAGGCACAGCACGTACTGCCGAGCTTCTCTGCAGCTTTATCATTTCGTTCATTCTCCATTTCACCTCTTCTCCCTCCTACTTCTGCTGTTAATTTTGGCCTTATATTGAGGTCATGAAGTTCTCCTTTGGCACTGTGACGGCCGTCTTGGCTGCTGCTCACAGCACCGTCGCCGTTGGCCCCTGGCCAGTCGGCTTCAAGCCCCCTGGATTGATCAAAGGCACCTTCAGCCCCGGTGTCTCCGACAAGGTGGCTGCTGCCAGCCATGGCAGGTCCAAGGGCTATTGCGGTCCCGATCCTGGGACACCGAACGGGGGTGGAGGAGGTGGTGGGCACGGAGGCAGCACGCCCCCTGCTCCGATGTTTGGCTGGGGCACCTTCGACCAGCCCATTGATCACAACAACCCGCATCTCGGGACCTTCTCGCAGCGCTTCTGGTATAGCACCGAGTTCTGGAAGGGGCCCGGCTCGCCCGTCGTCTTGACCTGTCCCGGCGAGCAGTCTGGCACGGACTGGAACGCCACGTACCTTTCCAACCAACGCATCACGGGCTACTTTGGTGAGGCTGTCGGCGGCGCTGTGGTGATTCTGGAGCACCGCTACTGGGGCGAGAGCTCCCCCTACGAGCAGCTGACCGTCAAGAATCTCCAGTACCTCACCGTCGACCAGGCCCTGCGCGACTTTACCTACTTTGCCAACAACTGGGTGCCGCCGTTTGACACGTCGGGCAAGAGCAAGCCCACCAAGGCGCCGTGGGTGCTGGCGGGCGGCTCGTACGCGGGCGCCCTGGCTGGATGGGAGGCCAACCTGGCAGCCGGTCAGCCCGAGGCCAAGGACCATACGAGCCCGTTCTGGGCGTACTATGCGACGAGCGGCGTGGTCGAGGCGATTGGCGACTTTTGGCAGTACTTTGAGGTGGTGCGGCAGGCGACGCCGCAGAACTGCAGCATCGACCTCACGAATGTGGCCTCCTACATTGACAACGTTTTGCAGCACGGCACGAACGCCCAGAAGCTGGCACTCAAGACTTCCTTCAAACTGCAGGATTTGACTGATGGTGATTTTGCAAGGTACGACTTTGCATTTGCTGTATTGCGTCGCCTCTGGTTTCTGGTGTTCTTTTTTCTTCATCTTTTTGTTCCTTCTTTATTGAACTCTAACACATACAGAACCTTGTCCATTGGACCACTTCTTCTTCAGAGCACGCAATTCTTCAGCACGCCCCTTTACGGCTCCAGCCCGTACTACCAGTTCTGTGATTACATTGAGGTCAGCACCAATTTTCTGTGCCATTGGCCTAAATAAGGAATGACTGCTAACACGTCGGTCACTGCAGAACGTCTGGGACGGCTCTGGCAACCCTGTGCCAGGAAAGAGCGGTGTCGGTGTCACCAAGGCACTGGCTGGCTATGCCAAGTGGACAATCGACTACCTTCTTCCCGACTGTATGTGCCAATTCTTGTTTTGGTCGTGGCTCTCCCGTTTTCCAACTCTCAGCCTATGCTAACGAGCCGTCCTTGCAGTCTGTGATGTGTATGGCTACGATGATTTCCAGGGCACGTACAACACCGAGTGCCTGCGCTTCACCAACGCTTCCAGCTCCATGTACTTCGACATCACGCCTGGCAACTTTGTCGGCCGCCAGTACTGGTGGCTCCTGTGCAACAACCCGCTGGCCTGGTTCCAGACCGCCGCACCCGTCGGCCACCCCACCATCGTCTCCCGGCAGCTCGACTACAACTACTTTTTGGAGATTTGCAATGCGCAGTTCCCTGCCATGGCGGGTGGCTTCGGGCTCGAGCACGGCACCACCATTGCGGGCTTCAACGGCTACACAGGTGGGTGGTCGGTGCCGCCAAGCCGCACGCCGCGCATCATCTACACCAACGGCGAAGTGGACCCGTGGCGAGCGGCGTCGGTGAGCTCGAGCCAGCGCCCTGGTGGACCGCTGGCCAGCAGCGCCAACGTGCCGGTGACCGTGGTGCAGGGCGGCAGCCACTGCTCGGATGCGTACGCCGAAAACTGGGCCGTCAACCCGGGCGTCAAGGCAATTGTGGACGCAGAGGCGGCCACGATGCTCCGGTGGACCAACGAGTTCTACAGCATCAAGCACATTGCGAAGCCTACGTAGGCTGCACAAATGCCGTTGATCTTTAAGGGTGATATATGGAGTTGATAGGAATGAGGGCCATGTCCTAGCAGTTACGCAGTATGAAAATGAAGTTGAAAAAAATTGCATGTAGACGTGGGTGACATGGTGAAAAGAACGCTAGACATAAAAGCACAACAAGCTCCACCAAGTTGATGTACGGCAGAGACAGCACAAGACTTGCAAAGGGAATGATATCGGTTTTGGAGTCAAGGCTTGGAAGAACCTCTGGTGTTTTTCGGCAAACGAGCGACCAGATAGCTATTGAGCGTGCTGGTCGAGTCGAATCACCCATTGTTTTTGGACCCGTCCAAACCATGATAAGCTGCGGTTTCTTTTTATTTTCTGCGTTTGCATATGTCCCGGAGCATTGCGAGATCGTGAGGTACTTGGTGGAGGTGGTAGTCGTGACCATCAGGTCGCATATGGCCGTTGACGTCGGCAAGGCTATGCGTCCAACTTCAAGTGCGACTTACACTGTAATTTGGACGCGCCGCCTTGTCGATCTCGTCCCAGGGTCCTGAGCCTAGCCGTCTGCCAATGGTGTTTGCAGGTAATTACCGTCCGCTGGAGAAATAGCGGGGATAGGTTACTAGCGCCCGTTGCACAGCGCTAATTTAGTGAGTCTGGTCCACTAAAGTGATCGACACCTCACAGAATCCACTTTTACTTGAACGAGGAGATGTTTAGATCTTTCTCAGTTCTACGTCAATCCGATGTTGCTGTCAACTTGGATGAAGATCCATTGGGAACAATAAAAAATAGAAGTACAGCAGGGAAAAGATGATAATGGCTAGAAGATGGCGGTGTGAGCTGCGCCGTGGTACGCTTGAGGTTGTCAGATTTCTGTGCGATCAATCTGCAAAATTCTATTCAGTACAATTCGTTTTTATTTTCCAGTCTGAGTTGTGTTTGCTCTGTTTCTTGTCTCCTTGCCTCCTTCCATGTTCACTTTCGAGTCAGTGTTAGGTGGCTAATCTGACATCTTATACTGTCATGCCACTTTCATTTTTCATCTCAATTATTTGACCTCTTCACATGTCCGTCGACTCTCATTTACATGCAATAACTCAAAATCCGCGCGATTCATCTCACTTCTAGTACAAAAGCTAAACTCGACTCGTCTTAACCGTCTTCTATTCATATTGAACCACAGCGACGACAACAAGACGACAACAATCAAAAGTAAGGCCATGTCCCTTGACCTAACCAGATCCGTTTTCAATAGCATACGTGGTCCTGTGATGCCTTGCGATAATCAAGCAGTGATGCAGCAATATGTCGCTATGGACGAACCATATCTTGTCAGAACTCCATCCACCATCTCCACTCTCACCGAATTCTCGGACTCAGACTTTCATGACATGGACATCGACAGCAATGACGAGGATGAGGAGTTCTTTGACGCAAATGAGATGTCATTTGCTGCAGTGGAAGGCCCAAAGAGGTCTAACGACATCCGCGACAGCCTCGAGACTGGTAGTCCCTCCTCCTCCACAGATATCGACGGTGCCCAGGTCATATCAGCATCTTTTGGTAACGTCCATATTGCCAAGAAGAAGTACCAGGCCGGGTCCAATGCCAGCGTGCAAGGACAGCGCCAGGAGGATATTGGACAGGACGCCGGGCTGTCCCCGAGCTCTGAAGACACAGTCGACGACCGCTCAGGACATATAACGAATGAGAAGTGCATCATTTCCGGACTTGAGTCACAGGTCCACGAGCTGCAGACCAAGAACAGAAAGCTTCAAAACGAAAAGTGGAACCTCGAGAACCGCGTCACTAGCCTCAAGGCTGTCATTCTCACCAACAATGAACGTGTGGCCCACATGAAAACGCTCGAGACGCAGCTGGACCATGCTCTTCGATATATTGCCGCTCTCAAGAAACAGGTCCGCGCCCAAGGGGGTCTCGTCTTGGAAGACCTATGGGGGGATGAACGGGGAAAAGGCGACAACGAAAACGGTGAAGAAGACGACGACGATGACGGGGACAAGTGCGTGCCAGTTTATTTTCCTCACGCTGCGGCCAACCCGAATCAGTACACCGCGCTGGATTGCCAGAAACGGCGGGCAATGAAGCACTGAAGTGGCGTCTGTACGAGTGCTCAAGTTGCAGTTTCTTTTACTATTCTTTCGGGGTCACAAGGTGCATGATTGGGAACATGATTGCGATGCTTAAGTGATTAATTTTTGTTTTTTTAAAAAATACTGACAAGCAATGAGAAGAAATCAAATAAGTAGACAGTAGGACAAAGACAAGAGATGTAGAGAAAGTGGATTCCTCGTTGATTAGTCCTTGCTCAACACTAAAGTACTCACCTGGAAGGATCGTGAATACCGCCTCGTCCGTCCGTTGAACATTCCGCTATCTCCTCACCCCCACCATTCGTCCTCCGACTACTCCTCACTTTCCTGGTCCGACGAGTCGGGCTCAATGGGGAATTGAGGAAGACCAAGGAGTTTAGGGTCGGGCGATCGAGGGTAGCGGCGAGGCGACTCGTAGATGAAGGAAGAAGAGGCGGACGAGCTGGAGTCCGAGTCGTAATCAGCCCGGGTAGGAGGACGGTCAAAGAGAACAGACGTGCGGCGGACTGGGGGGAATGGCCGGCGACGAGCACCTGGGATGGGGATCGGGGACGTGCGCTCCTCGAGCAGCGGACGGGGCGACGGAGACGAAGCGGACGTCGAAGAAGACGACAAAGGCAGAGGCAGAGAGGTCGCAACGGGGGCAGCAGCCCTCGGAGAAATAGCCGCAGGGGACTCACAAAGGTGGGCCGGAAGGTCCGGCTTGAAGCTGTGAATGTAGTCCTGCCGGAAGGGAGAGACTATGTGCGGCTGCGGCTGCGGCGGCGGCGTGTACAGAATCGGTGGCATAATCAACGCATCTTCGGCTTCGCGCCGGGCGCGAAAAGCGGCCTGGGACTTGGGAGAAAGGGCACGGGGCTTACTGACCTTGTCTAACTTGGGGAGACCGGGGACCACAACAGCCGGAGGAGCGTAGACGTTCAGGTAGATCTGGCGGCGACGGAAGACGAGCGACTCGCGGGCAACAGCGGGCTGAGCCAGGCGGAACATTGGCGAACGAGGCGAGAAAATGGGGGCTGCAAACAGAGGACGGGGCACCAGAGACGAGAGCGAAGGCGACGGGAGGGGCGACCAGGAAGGCCGTTCAGGAGCGGAGACAAAGGTCTGGTCCGAGAACGATGGAGACGAGGCGGCCAGGGCCAAAGACAGAGAGGCGAGCTCACGTTCAAACGCGGGCGACGGCAGAAGCAACGGCGACGGAGACATGTCGCGACGAGGAATGTCGAGCGACTGGAGGGGAATGTCGTCTGTGTTGAAGCCGATGGGCGACATTTTGTCCAAGATGGGTCCTTTGATGATGTTGAGTTGGTTCGTTCGAGACGTGGGTTGAGTCAATGAGTCTGGTCTGGTCGGTCGATCGTCTTTCTGTTGTCCTGTCGTCCGAGTCAAAGTTTGGAATAGTTGGCTTTTCTTGCTTCCAGCAACTGCAAAGAATAATGAGAGACGGTTTCTGTTTGGTGGTCTGTGTCTTGGAGCTTTCTACCAGAGAAAAGAAGACACGTCAAACAGTTGTTCTCCGGTCTGTACTTGTTGCAAGAGAATGCCGTTGGGAGTTGTTGTTGTTGCGAATGGGAGAGAAGGTCATATTTGAATCAGAGGCAGGAAATCCGTCGATTCATATAAGTCATGGTTGTGCCATTTTCGTGAACAATGGAGTTGGTTGCGATAGACGTGAACAAACATATTGTGTGTTTTAACCGTCAACAAAACTCTGTAGTTCTTGTTCAAAGCACTACAGCTGATTGTTGTATACACGAAGTAAGATCTGTTCATTTTTTTAGAAAAAATCCAATTAAATAAATAAAATAAAACAATATTTGTGCGATGAACATATCATGTATCGCATTCGATCCACGCACACAACTTGGCCCCTTTCAATGAACAAAGAGCACCGTCTTTCCCCACAACCGAAGGAAATGCGTCTATGGCTTCTTCTGAACAAAGAAAAACTGCCGCATTGAAAGCAGATTCTGATCTATCGAGACGGCCCTGTCACCAAGAAGGCTGGCACTCCCGGATGCTGATAGCAACGTATCCTATGGTTTTTCCTGCCACATGTCCACTCCCAAGCTCCTCCGCACTTCCAATGGGCGGTTCCCAGTATCGTGGCCGACTTGACTGCAGTCCACAACGACGGATTGTACCCGAAAACAACAAAATCACATCAGCCAAAGCAACCACCACAGCACATCAAACATCTCCGAGCTATGCACGAGAACATGTTCTGCGTCCAGCCAGCACAGGCTGTCCGGCCCGAACAAGAGGATACATGGAGCAGCTTCTGTCGTTCAGATGTTCCACGACTGTTCATCGCATCGTGGCCATGGACAATTCACTCCTCCTTCTCTCTCTATAAAGGAAGCATCACGGCCGCTCTGTTACCGTCTTCTCTTGCTTCCTTTCTCCTCACCCGCCCTCCTCCATTTCCTCCCCGTCTGTTACCCAACAGGCCTTTCTTTTGTCGTTTCTTATTTGCTATCCACTCTTCTGACGGCATCTTCCTTGTCAACCTCCAAGATGCCCGCCCCTATTTACACTTATGACAACACGTGCCCCGCCGATGGAATTGACAAGGAGCGGTGGTCCAACTGGACCATTGCCTTTGTGATTCTATTCGTGTGGCGCTACCTCCGCCAGGTCGTGCATCTCGTGTCCTTTTGGATGTACCGCCCGGCCGAGACTTTGACCCTTCCGACAATCACCAGCCGTGACGTAACGGTGATTGTGCCAACCATTGATCCTAATAATGCCCACTTTCAGACCGGCATCATCAGTGCGGCCCGCAACCTGCCCTCCAAGATTGTTGTGGTCACCGCTGGCGAGGCCCTCCGCCGTGAAACTCTCTCCGTCTGCCGTCGGCTCCGTCGTACTCTCCCCCAATAGTGTTCTGGGGTTGCGATCGAAGTCCTGGCGGCCGCGGAAGCAAACAAGCGGGTCCAGACCGTGACCGGCGCTCGCCGTGCCACAACGAAAATCTGCGTGCTCATGGACGACCATGTCCTGTGGAAGGACACGTTCCTGGAGTACACGCTACCCGCTTTTGACCGTGATCCCAAGGTGGGCATTGTCGGGACCAACAAACGCGTCACTCGAGATGAAAAGCACGACAACCTGTACCATCGCATCCTCAACATGGTCCAGTGCCTCTATCTCGAGAGACACAACTTCGAAATCCGATCGTCCAATGCAGTCGATGGTGGTGTCTTTGTCGTTTCTGGCCGCACCTCGCTTGTGCGGACGTCGATTCTGCAGGACACCAACTTCCTCCGTGGCTTCTTGAACGACTACTTTCTGTTCGGCCTCATCGGTCCCCTGGCGGTGGACGACGACAACTTCATCACGCGCTGGTGCATCGCCCACGGCTGGCGCGTCAAGATCCAATACCGCCCGGAGACCCTCATCACCACATCGCTTGGCAGTGCGGCCAAGTTCACCGGCGGCCTGAAACGCTGGGTGCGCACCACGTGGCGAAGCAACTCGACGAGTTTGACTTCTCTCCACGTCTGGTACACCCAGCCGTGGAGCGTCTACGCCGTGTACTTGTCGCTCTTTACCAACTTTGCCCTGTTCTACGATCCTCTCTTGTTGTACGCCTTTGCCCAGTCGGACCTGTCCGGTTACCGCGCGAACGGTCCCGTCAACCCCATTGGCTACAACGTGGATGGAACCATCGACCACGGCCGCGTTGGCGACAACAGCATCACTGTCCCGTCGACCAGCCTCCTCTTCTCTCTCCTTCCTCTGATTGTGTGGATGTTTGCATTCAAGATGGTCAAGCCGTTTGCCTATTTCCGGCGCCACCCCGAGGACCTCAGACTCCTCTGGGCCTACATCTTGTTCACCTACGTCCACTCCCTCATCAAGCTCAATGGTTTGCTGACGTTTTACAGTGCCAAGTGGGAGGGCCGCAACCTGGCCTCCCTCAATGCTGATCTCGCAAAGAACCAGACTCACCAGGCTTACCAGACTCAACTTCCGCTCGACGTGCCCGCCACCCCCTCCACCGAGGAGACCGTCTTCCACGGTTTCTCGACCGCTGTCGAGGTCCACCGCCACACGGAGATCCACGTCAACCCGCCCGCGGCGACGACCACAGTCGTCTCGGAGTCTTCGTCGGAGAACACCCGCCGTCCTGACCTTGTCCCAGCACAGTCGCCTGTCGCCAACCCGTTCGCGGTGACCGATTCCGGCTTCGTGACGTGCATTCTGGGAGACATGTATTTCGATGAGTCTGACTCTGCTTCCGATCAGTAGACAACCTTTTCCCCTTGCCCATTGTTGATGCCAGTCGCGCTAACTAAGGAGAGAGAAGTAGGCACCGTTTCCCTCACATATCTCTGCCAATTTCTGATTGAGGGGACGTGATCTGCCTCCTGCGATTTCCTCTGTTGGCCGTATTGACAGAAGTTTTTAGTTTTTCACGATCCTTGTTTTCGAAGTCGTGTTTCGGGCTCGGCTTTTGGAGACCCCTGCAAGTGTTCCTTTTTCTTTACCTGAAATTCACAAAAACAAAAAAAAAAAACTCGGAAAACAGTCGTGCTCTCCCTTATGGATTGAGCAATGGCTACCACAAAATACCAAAAAAATCAGTGCATGTAGACGACCTCCGTATTTGGCGGTCACATCCCCTACCCCCAGCAGTGCTCCCATACCAACGTAGCCAGGAATATACCTGCTATCCCATGGTTGAGCTTGTGCTCCTTACTTAGATGTTCCAATAAAAGCGCCGCAAGGCAATGAAATCTTAATCTGTTCCCATGCGCGTGACCAAATACAATTAAATCTGTAAATTTAGACAACAAATGGCAGATTCCATTGAAGAATTATACTTGTAGCAAGGGCAAGGGGCAAGGCCGGTGTTGCAACTGCACCTGCCAAAGATGTATATTTGGTGGCTCTTTCCTTGCCTTTCGTTGACTTCCCCTTTTCGGCAGGCGGCCAGCACAATGGGCTGATCTTTGTGTTCTTTCCTGGGAAGACGCACAAAGACATATATAGCTTCACAAACGATCATGTCAAGATTTGCGACCGACACTTCAGCCTTGTATCAGCTATCTTGCCAGACGTGTTTTTTCTCGCGACATCCCATTGGCAACACCACTACAGCATCCTTTCCATACGGTCATTATTATCGCCATATTCAAGCAACAGCTGCGTCCACAGCCAACATACATATTGCAATGCGCCAAAGAATACTTTTTGGCATCCTTCTGGCCCTCTCTTGCAGATGCGATGCGCATCCTGGCTTCAGCGCCGTTCTACACGATCTCCACGGATATGTAGCTCGACAGAATGCAAGCACCGAGGGCCCCTCGACCACTCTTCTCGCTGATCTTGCCACCCAGGGCGCCAAGACGCCCGCGGGCGAGGCCATCCGCAGCATCCTCCAGGGCGAATCCACGGCCGTTGTGGACCCCACCGTCGTCTATACGCCGCCAGACGCGGTAAATAAGGCCGGCAACGGCGGGCTCAATAGTCCCGCCTGCGGCACAGACACCTGTTGCATCTGGAGCTACATTGTGCCCGCCATGGTGGTCGCCTTTTCCGAGAACAACGGCACCCGTTGCTCGGCCCTTGCCCGCAGCGCCATCCGCATCGGCTTTCATGATGCGGCCGTCTAGAACACGAGCATGGGCCCGGGCAACGGCGGCGCCGACGGATCCATCCTGCTAGCGGACGGCGAGCTCCAGCGCCGCGAGAACCGCGGTCTGGCCGACATTGCCCATCTAATCATGAGCTGGCACAGCGAATTCGGCCGGTACTCGCCCCACCCCCCATCCGTCGCCGACCTCATCCAGATCGGGGCCATTGTGGCCGCCGTGACGTGCCCGGGCGGGCCCCGGATTCGCTCGTTTGTCGGGCGCCCCGATTTCAACGCCGGCAGCACGCCGCCGCCGCCGCAACCGCCGCACGAGCTCATCCCCAAGCCCACGGACGACGCGCAGACCATTCTGCGCAAGATGGCCGCCAAGACGTTTACGGCCGTCGACTTGGTCGCGCTCCTGGGCGCGCACTCCGTCTCGCACCAGTACTTTACTGACCTCGCCTTGGCAGGCGCCCCCCAAGACACGACCGACGGCGTCTTTGACACCAAGTTTTACGCCGAGACGCGCGCGCCCCGCGCGCCCTTGGGCGTCTACCGCATCGCATCGGACGTGGCCGTGGCGCGCGACCCGGCGACGCACGCGCTGTGGCGGACCTACTCGGGCGCAGACGCAGCGACGCAGGACCGGTGGACGGCCGCGTACGCGTCGGCGTACGTGCGGCTGAGTCTGCTGGGCGTGGCGGATCTCAACGCGCTGACGGACTGCAGCGGGGTGCTGCCGCAGGCCAAGGCTCTGCCGTGAATGGAGAGCGGTGGTCGAGGGCACCATGAGGAACTTGAGTGGTGAAAAGAAATTGGTTTTACGTTGCAAGCTATTACACGCATTCTATATCAAAACTATTCACATTGACGGAATGGTGGATATACGGATATCTGCGTCAGTCGAATCGGCAGTCAGTCAGCTTTATTGTTTTGTAATAGGACGGTTCATTTGACTATTTTGACAGCGACGTGCATCCCCCGGTGACAATTTGAAGCATCGCCTTACGCCGCCTTGGTCAGGCGTTGTGGCCTGACTGCTCCATTGTGGGCAGGCAACATGGCGTGACATTCTCCGCAAGGATGCATCAGGCGAGCTGTGCGGTCACGGCAGAGCCAGGCCACATCTTGACACTTGCTGTTCGTCTAGGCCGCTCTTTGGCTCACTTTTGCTCTTAGTTGGATAGGCGCGAAGAAAGGCTAGAACCTCACACCACTCGATGGAGTGTCTTTAAAGCGCTACAAACGCGGCAGGTTGTCTTTTTATATAGAATAAATAGAATACCACATGTACAGAACTCTCTGTGTTGACTTTGTAGATGACTTGATCGGCCAAGGACGCACATATCGTCAACATTACCATTACTGTCACCGCTCTCCCACACAACGCCATCATGACTGGACGTAACGTCGACATGCGGCACATCGACCGCAAGGACATCTACACGAACCTTGAGTCGCGCGTCCAGTACCTCCACAGCTTTCTTGATTTCAGCAGCTGTACGCCAGGAACAAAGCTCCCACAACGATGGATGCATCCGTACATAGATCACTAACAACGCAAGCTAGCTGACATTGAACACCTCATAAGCGGCGCCAAGTATGTCGAGGCCCTCATCCCTGCCGTCACCAATATTGTCTACCGCAAACTGCTCCAGTACGACATCACGGCCCGCGCCTTCCAGCTCCGCTCCACCTCCTTCGACGGCCCCATGGACGAGGTCCCCGACGAGAACTCCCCCCAGATCCAGCACCGCAAGATGTTTCTGCGCGCCTACCTGGCCAAACTCTGCACCGACCCGTCCCAGATGGCCTTTTGGGAGTACCTCGACAAGGTCGGCATGATGCACGTCGGCCTCGGCCGTTCCCACCCGCTGCACATCGAGTACGTCCACATTGGCATGACGCTGTCGTTGATCCAGGAAGTGCTGACGGAGGCCATCCTGGGCCACCCGCGGCTGTCCATGCGCCGCAAGATGGGCCTCGTGAAGGCGCTCGGCAAGGTCATCTGGATCCAAAACGACCTGTTTGCCAAGTGGTATGTGCGCGACGGCGAGGAGTACACGGACGGCGTCGACTACAGCACACTGGTCGACAAGGAGGGCTACCTGCACGGCAAGAAGGTTCTGGTACATAAAGAGGAAGAGGGTGAAGGGAGCAAGACCACAAGTAACTCCAGCACCAGCAGCGGGTCGACGGTCCCAGCCCCATCCACACCAACGGCCGCAGCCGGCGTGTGTCCATCCACCAGCAGCTCCAAGGACGTGGCCGACGTAGGGGTGTCGCCAACTGCGCCACCCCCGGCTGTTCGCTGTGAAAAGTAGGTCTACAGACGTATAAATGGACGGTCCCGTGGAAGTTGTTTGTTCTGCTATTTTGTCTGTTCTGTTCCCATGTCCGAGTTGCTTCCTTCTATCCGCACGGACGGCGCCTTGTCTCTAGATAGTATCTGCGGTTAAGTTGGTTCGTAAGCATTCTCACCCACATCATCCAATATTTCTTCATTTTCGGTGTCCTTGTAAACCGTATTTTAGTAATTCGTCTCGGCGATTTTGACAATGTTTCCTTTTGTCGCCACAATGTGTGGCCGTCGTGTTGGCCCCCTATTTCTTGCCCAGCTCCACCGACCGCTTCGTGGCCGCGTCGACCGCCTTGTTGACAATCGCCTCGAACCCGCTCTCCTCAAAGCTCACCAGCGCCGCGTGCGTCGTGCCATTGGGGCTCGTCACGTTCTTGCGCAGCTGCCCCGGCTCGTCGCTCGACTGCACCAGCATCTTGCCCGCCCCCAGGCACGTCTGCTTCGCCAGCCGGCTCGCCTGGTCCACCGGCAGACCCAGCGCCGTCGCACTCGTAATCAGGTGCTCCACCATGGCGAAAAAGTACGCAGGGCCGCTGCCGGACAGGCCCGTCACGACATCCAGCAGGTCCTCGCGGGCCACCCACTCCGTGGCCTTGCTGACGCTCGACAGCATCTGCGTCACCAGCTCGCGCTCCTCGTCCGTGATGTCGTCGCCTGCGTACACACCTGACGCGCCCTCGCCCACCAGCGCCGGCGTGTTGGGCATGACGCGCACCACGTGCGGCACGCGGCCCGCGGCCGTTGTCGTCCATGCGCGCAGGCTGTCAATTGTGATGCCCGCGGCGATGGAGACCACGAGGGGCAGTTTCTTGTCCGCGCCAAGCTCCTTCCAGGCCGCGGCCAAGTCCTTGCACGCGGTCTCCGTGACCTGCGGCTTGACCGAGATCACCACGAGGTCGGCCCACGCAGCCACCTCGCCGTTGGACGTGGTCGTGTGCACGCCGAGCGCCGCCATCTTGCCGCGGTTGACGTCCCAGGGCTCGGACACGGAGATGTTGGCCGTGTCGACACCGCCGGCCAGGAGACCACCAATGATGGCACCGGCCATGTTGCCGCCGCCGATAAAGGCGAGCTTCGCCGTGCTGAGGGGAGCGGACGGAGCCATTGTGTGGGATGGTTTCGGATGGGTTCGAAGGTTTGGAAGGGATTGTGGTTGAAGTTTGGGAGGTTGGTGTGCTCGAGAAGGTTGGAAACTGTTTGAAGTGCCCTTGAATCAATGCGAGGAGATGCTTAAGTGTGACTCGTCAATGGCTGGCCGTCAATTGGAAATTCGTCTTCTTTTTTGACCGACGTGCGCTGCTGTTTTTAGACTTATCGCGCGTAGCTTTCCCAAAATGCTATACCCCTCCAAACCTCCAATCGGCTGCAACTTCCCTGTAACGAAGCTAGCAAAGTCGAAAAGCCGCTGCAAAGCGAAGCACCGCTTTCGGCCTTGATTAAGTAATTCGAAGGCGAACAGAAGTCAAACACAATAAAAAAGAAAAGAAAAAAAATCAACAGAAAAATAACATCAGTAAAACAGTAAATCGAAATCAAATGCAAAAAGAGCAGCCGATGCATAAGAAGGATTCAGGGCTGAAAATGTCGCAGAAAAAGACAAAAAAAAACGACAACAGCAGGACTTGAACCTACGCGGCCGAAGCCATAAGATATATCGAACAAGGAAATTCGAGTCTTACCCATTAACCACTCTGGCATGTTGCCTTTAATTGTTAAAAATTAGCCACCATTTATGGATTAAGTAGGTAATCCTAATTGTTAGTAAAAGCGGGACATCTCCAGAGGCCCCTCGCAGTAGACTCATTGAAACTCGACAATTGACATCAGGCATGATATCGTTATACCATCACACACATGTTTTTTTCTTGAATCTCCATATTCTTCATCCTCGTATCGTCTTCCGGATTCGACATCTTTCAACTTCTATCATGCCTCTGGTCGATTGCTGCGTCTCGTTTGAGTGCAGGCAATCAAGCACAAGGGTGTTTTGGTCACTTTCAGGACACCGTAGGATATGCAAGCGGAGTTGGCAGGTGTCGTCGACGTACCACTTACCCTGCAACAAAAATTAAAATAAGACAGAATGGAACAGTATTGAGACGTATCTTAGTTCTTGCACATTGCGCAGTGCTGTAAACGTCACATGTTCACGATGCAGTGAACGAGCCACTGACATGTGTGAGACATGTGGTTGACTATGTTGAGTGCGACTGTGTCTCGTCAGTGAGGCTGTTCTTCCACCAAATGCGCATGCCAATTACCAAATGTCATTACAACAAAACATGGCAGAACCAACAGCTGCCCACCACGTCACAGTCGACTTCCCGCGGCAGAACCGTTGCCGCTGCATGCCTGGTTGTGACAATGACCGAGCAGCAGTTGTAAAGCGTAATCATTGCTTCGGAATAAGGTTGGTTGCGTCCGGGATGGGGGGGGGGGGGGCGGGAAGACGCAGGCACACAGCAGACACAGGCGCTTTCACATGTCAGCAAGTCGCGTTGTCTCGAACTGCAACAGGCAGCCCCATGTTCCATTGTACTGCCTTCTGTGTGGTTGTGTGTGACATGCGTGAGGCTTGAAGAGAACACAGTAACCCCATCCAACACATCGCGTGCTCAAATGACGAGGCGCACAATGTCGTCCACTGGATTGGGGACGAAAACAGAGGCCCGGAGGTGCTGCACTGGTCGACGTCACGATTGGTGGGCTGGTGAGCGACTGACTAAAAATAAAAGAAAAGTGACGCCGTAGTGGACACAAGACCAAGACACGATGACAGAGGACTGGGACAGGGGAAACTTCCTTGTGACTGTGTTCAGTTCAGCTTCGGAAGCGACACCCGCGGTGTGCTCTTCGCTCTTTCCATAGCTAGTCACGAATTAAACACTACGAGAGGCGAAAATTATAGGTATCACGGAAGGAGCGACATCCCGGACTTGACGACTTGCTCTTGCCACGCCGTCCATCAATTTTATCGACGTTGAATCGTTCGACCAGATGGCATGCTTCGGGCATGTGTTAGTTTGATTGAAACCCCCCTGTCCGCGACACGCCCGTCGCCAGCCCCTGGTCGTCGCGTTGTGGCAGCTAGTGAGCGCGGCGCAAGACAAATGGCTGGCCAGAATTGTTTTCGTCAAGTTTCAGACTTCTATTCCTTTCGTGTGCGCCAGGGAAGGAGGGAAACCAAGGAAGGTACGTTTGTGACCGAGTGTGGTTGGAAGGCGAACTCAGCAATAAGACGAGGAAGGGACAACGAAGATACAAGGAAGGAGCGAGACAAAGTAGATAATAATAGAGCTGACAGGACAGGAGCGTCACGACATATGTTCTTGCCTATCTTGGTTCTTGCCGTCCTGTGTCGCTTGTTTGAACATTTTTGGCTTGTGATTGTGGAACATGGTAAAACTTGACACAGGCGCAGTTGTTCCTTCTTTTCTTGCCTTCGTTCTTCCCCTTTAAATTGGCATCGCCAACGTTCCTCGATAGCAAATATAAAAAAACTATGAACATTCTCACGAACCCATTCTTCCTTGCCTCCTTATTTTCTTTGCCCCCCCAAGTTCCACCGTCTCCTACAACGGCCCCTCCCGCAGCTTGCCCTTTACACTAACGCCTTTTTTCGTTTGGCGTGCCTCCGTACCTCGCTGGTACCCACCCCACTACCTCTTCACTCTTTTTGGCTCGCCTGTTATCCTCTTCTTCGCTCGATTTTTCTGCCCTTGACTTCTCTTGGCTTTTACTGTTAAGCCAAGTTACGGCAGCGTGCCGCAACGCCCTACTTAGTCCATATTATCGCGTGTTGCTGGTGTCGCTTGTGGTGGGTCGACAAGCTAGGTTTTTGTTCTCTTATTTGCTCTCCGGATCGCCCTTGCAACTCGCGGCTACCACTGAAGCACTGCAACCACGACAAAACCGTCTGTCGGTCATGTTAGCGATATCGGCTGGACCTCGCATCTTTTTGAGACCGTGACCCAGTAACTACCGGACTTTCTCCTCTTCGCCCCCGCCGGTGACACATCTTTTTCTTCTTCGCGAATGTCAGTCGCTGGTTTGTGAGAGGTTGTGACCGGCTGTGACAAAAGACCGTCGCCTTTCACGGTGTTCTCCCACGGCCATCTCCACTGGATCACAGCAAGGCGTCGATCGTTAACCAAGACAACACACCCCTCCTAGTCGCAAGGCCCACCTGACCACTTCGCACCCTCCAACAAACTTGTGCTGCAGCACTGTATGTCTTGGTCATTCTGAGCACATCTGGGCACATCTGGGCACATCTGGGCATATCTGGGCATACCTAGGCAGAGTGAGAGACAACACTCCGGGGCATTTCGGAGAAACATCGTCACTGAAAACATCGGCTGGACACTGACGAAAAATCACACAAACCGCCAATTTGCACAGTCAATAAATCGCCCAAACGAGAGACAGCGTCACATTTCCCCAAGATTTTGTTCCTTATTTGTGCTGGTCTGAAAGGCTGCTTGCCGAAAGGGGCATTCAAATTTGGCGTGCTTGACCTGGTCTACTACCTGACCGCCCTTTGATGTGGTGCCATTTGGCAGGAGTCTCAACAAAATAAAGTTGCATCACGACTAAAACAGCTAGGGCGGAGGTCCTGGTCTTGGTTCGAGACTGCGAAGTTTGCAAGCATTCTTGACTAGAGTGATCAGGAGGATATTGCGAAGGAGGGGAAGGGCGAAAACGTCAGAATAACGAAAACAAAAAGCAAGAAGCCGAAGACGATCAGCGTCGCCAAGGATTAAAAAAACACGTGGAAAGGCGGCGACTGCAAAGGAAAAGTCTTTGCTCGGCATCGCCATATATTTCTCCTGTATGTTCTTCTTTGTTCATCGTCTTCTTTTCCCTCGTCTCTGCCCCTTTCATCCAACACATGCCTCCCGCTGCTCGTGCCTGGTTTCTCACGCTCTCTTCCCAACTGCCGCCACGGTGGTTCCGTACCTGGCCGCCGTTTTTCCTAGCCTACGATCTCCAGTTTATTCTGTCTGCAAATTCAAGCCCCACAAGAACACCCGCAGCGTGCTCGTTGCGTTAACGCAGGCGCACAGGAACGCAGGACCCGTCGACCTGTGGCGACATTGTGCGCTCCTCAGACTCGCTCATTTCCTTCTGGACCGCTGCATGCGCCTGCACGGCTGCATTAGTGTGGCTGTTCTGCTTCAACATCCGACATACAGACGTTTTGGTTCTTTTTTCGCCCACGCCATTTCCGTACCCCCAACGCCGTACACTTGGCCAGCCGTAGCAGCCAATACGCTGCCCCGTGAGTACCACAGGGTGAAGTGAACATAACAGAACCTTGAAAAGAAAGTGGGGATCGAAGTCCGACAATCACCCGAGAGGAACTCCGAACTCAGGCCCAGGCGAAATAGAAACAACAAGAAGCCGTCGGTTAACGACACGAAGAGTCAACAACCGGGACGCAAGCCTTCTGCCCGTAGCGGATTAGGAACGTCCGGCATAGGAAGCATAGGTTTGGCTTCTTTTGCCCGCTTCTCGATTCGCCGCTCTGAGTTGCGATTTCCAACCATATATTTTCTATATTTCGGACCTTACAAAATAGGCAAGGGGTGTCGAACTCAAAATAACGAGGCAAGGAGAGCAGTACGGGTTTGCTCCATTCACGCGAGGCTGGACAGACGGACAAGAAATACGAAAGGACAAATCAACAAGCCACCCGACCTGATCATCTCTTTATTTTTTCCTCGCCACCGCCCCGTCAGGAACGTTGCACGCCGTCAAGCTTGTGTTGTACGATTTACAGTGCCTTTTGTCGACACCTTTGGAATGCCCCATTTTGCGTTTCTCCATATTTTATTCCTCCTTTTTTGTTGTCGTTTCGCAAGCCCGCTACAACGCTCGCTCACTGCCAGGGCCTGGCCCAAACAGGAATCCACCAACACTCCCCATCCCACCAATTTAACCCACCACGCTCGACACTATTGGGCGCACTTACACGACTTCCTTCGCTGGACCCCGTTTGCCCAGACCGCAAGTTTGTGTTCCACCGACCAGCGTCCTTTTATAATTTCGTTGTTGACGCACGTTGCCTCCTTTGTCCTTTTTGACGATCGTGTCGTGGTCGGCAAGAGAACAGTCGTCCATTGCATGAAATTACCTTCTCGCCTCTCGCATCTTTTGCCTCTCTTCTCCCGTATTTGATTTTCTTCCCGACTCGTCGTCTTTCCTCTTATTTACCAAATCTTGTCGCCTGCAGCTGCATCTGTCTGGAACAGAGGTTTGACTGCAGCACGCAACACTGCCAACAAGATCTGTAACACCGCCCTTTGTGTTCCACTACCATACCAACTTGTCTTTGACGACGATTGTCTGTCTTTTTATGTAAGACGGCCCAATCATCCTGTTGCTTCTGTCGAGGTTCAACAGACTCATTCTCTTTGTTTTCTTTCTTAAATATCCCCCTTACCTCGCCCTCTTGTGTCCTTCTTCGCCTTTGTGCTCATTTTGTCTTCCATTGTTCATTGAGCATAGCCTGCCAACAACATCGATTTTACTGGAGATCGATGTATGTTTTGCCCTCTCATATACACCTATGCCTCACCCGAAATCAAGATCCAAAACGGGTCTCCCATCAAATACAACTCAACCCACAAAATCTCAACAACAGACGTCCAGGTATCCAGTCCCCGGTGAACAGCACTTCAAGTCTGTGTACGGTCTTGACGAACTAAATCCGTCTTCCACCGAAATGCACCGCCAAGATTCCGGCTATGAGTCGATCACGCCTCGCGAGGCACCGTCTAAAAGCCCCGGGACGTCCCAGCGGCGAGCTCACTCAACTCACTCGAGCCGTCCCGGCAGTCGGACCCGTCCTCCTACCCGGCGAAATGCAATGTCTGGCTCGGTAAACCGCCTGCCCAAGACGGCAAAGTACAACAGCCGCTCTAACGTCGTCCACTCCGGCAGCCCTGTCACTGTCATCCCTTCGTTGTACGACAACAGCATCTACCAGGACAGTAGCCCTTACAGCACTCGGGCCGGCAATCCTACATCCTATTATCCTACATCCTATTTTCACTTCCCCTCGCCCGATCCCCATACCACTGGTGACGACGCTGTACTGCCCAACAGCGCTCCCGAACATGGCTTCGATGCCAGCTATGGCGCCCCCGGTAACGACAACGTCTACCACACTCCGCCACAGACGACACACTACTGGACGAGCGATCAGACACGGAGGCTCGAGTATGCCGCCATCGACGCAGCCAGCCGCGGGTTCAAGGGCTGGATGATGCGGCACATGGTGCCAGACTGCTTCATCCCCAAGGCCAAGCGGCGGGTGACGTTTGACGACGATACGGGCAGTGTGCGGCGGTATCGTATTGAGCTCGAGGCGGAGGAGTCAACCGAGAAGGAGTGTGTTTCGAACATGATGCGTCGTGGCTTTAAGAAAAGCGGCTCCAGCAGGAGGTCGTAGAGTCCGACCTTATTCGATCCATGACAGACGATTCGACAGACAATTCGACAGACGAAATAATGAACAATGACACGAAGTGATTGCACACAACAACAAACACGATACCGGCGCAACTAAACCAGACAGTTGACGAGAAGAGGAATTGCATACGAAGCGTTGATTTTTTTTTATTACCGAGCTCGTCTGGCCACATTTTCCGCATTTAGATTTCCCTCGACGTCCTTTTCTCTTGGAGCATTATTTTCGCACATACATGGGAGGAGAATCGTTTTATACCCATCTTTGCAGCGCAACGCTGAATCGTCAGCATGCTCTGCAAGGATATGTCTTTACCATTTGGATTTTGTCTCTATTGGATATTTATTAATCACTTCTTATCATCCTACATATTATCTACTTATCTTGGGTGCTACATTCATAGTTTTCACAACAAGGACTTGTTTCGTTTCTATTTTGGCTGCATTTTGAAAGGGAGGTGCTTGTTTATGCACCGGTTGAAGAAAAGCGTTGATTAATATTAAGTCATGTCTGTGTGACATGGATCCATCCCATACTATTAAACTGACTCCAAAGTTTCCAAACTGAACGCAGACAACGAAAAGAAAATGAGATGACAAAGAAACGCAAAACCGAGGGTGAAAAAGACCCAGAAACAACAAGGAACCACAAGGACGGTAAGAAAAGGCAAAGTATTCCAAATTATGTACAGGGGGAAGGGAAGAAGAAGATCAGGAATGAGAAAGGATGTCTCACAGTGGATATCAAGCCGGCAGCCTAAAAACCAAACTGCTCGCGGTGGCGTGCTACGGCGTCGGCAAAGTAGCCAGCCAGGATGCTTACCTCCCGACCCGGTCGCCCGTCACGCTCTTTGCACAATCGGCGGACGGCTTCCAGACCGCGCAGGCCCTCGGCAGCGGCCGGCGATGCTGACAATGTGGGCGGCTGCTGTGCGATCTTGTGCAGCTGCGAGGTGCGACGCGTCTTGGTGGAGCCCAGCAGGGCGTGTTTGGTGGTGCCGTACTTGGCCGTGGCCCCAAGGCCGGTCCAGCTGAGACGGTGGTGGGCCGTGGATGTGGCGAGGCCCGGGCGGTACTCTTTGAAGGCACGGTGGGGACGGGTGTGAGCGTGAGCGTGTGCGTGGCCATCATAACCTGTGCTCGCTGCGGCCATGGCGGCCATTTCGCGCCTCTCGGCCAGCTCGCGGTCGACACTCATGGCGGCGCTCAAGAAGAAGGCGTCGGAGGAGGACGACGACAAGAGCAGGTTGCCGTCCCGGTCGACTGCCGGGTCGGGACGCATGGACCAGGGCTCAGGGCCAAAGAGAGCCGTCAGGTAGTCTTCCATGGTGAGAACGAGCTTTCGAGGCGGCAACGTCGTCCGGGCGAGCGACGAGGTTTCGCTGGCGAGCGAGTTGGTTGACGACGACGAGGCGGAGCGGCGGTAGGTGGCGTTTTGCATGGCATACTGGTGCTGCTGCTGCTGCTGGTAGGTAAAGGGGAAGCTCATGCGGTGGCGGCTCGTCCGGTTTGAGATATTGGCGATGCTGTTGCTGCTGTTGTGGTTGTTGTGGTAGTTATTGTTGCTGAAGGCAGCGGACGACGGAGGGAAGGGGGGCGAAACACTGCGGCCGCGACTGATCGACCGGAAGCTAGATGTGGTCGAACTGACGTTCAAGCTTATTCCGAGTCCAACTCCGCCGCTACTCACTGAGGCGGTATTGCTGCTGTTGATACTGCCGCCGGGCGTACCACTGCCGACGACAAAGACACCGCCGCCATAGCGCCCGGCCAGGTCGTCGCGGACACTTCGCAGCACACCGAAGCGGGCGCACGGGTCATGGGCATGCGCGACGTGCTCGACATGGAAAGATGACGAGTTGTAGTTGTTCTTTTCCATCTGCTGTGGCTGCTGCTGCTTCTGTTGTTGGTCGCCGGCCGTCGCTGACCGCAGGACAAAATCGGGCGCCAGGGAGCCAAACGTGTATACTTCCAACGTGGCGAGGCGGGCGGCCGGAACGTCGCTTGCCAGACGGGCCAGGGCTTGCGACACAGCCGTGGCGCCCGCGTTGTGTGCGAGGACGACGATGCGTGCGCGACGCGGGTTCGCTGTGGCCAGAAGAGCCCGGCGCAGCTCGGCATAGACGCCGTATGCACCCGGTGCGGGCAGGACACAAACGGGCAGGAGGAGCCGCTGCAGCAGGACCACGAGTGCATCGGCCACGGCGCCATAGGTGTACGCCGGGCGCAGCAGGGTCACCGGGCGCCCAAAGACGGCAGCCACGCGGGGGCCCGTCTTGGCGAGTGACTGGGAGGTCGCACCCAGGCCAGGGACGAAGAACCAGTGTTCGGCGCGGCGGCGCTTAGGGCGGCTGCCGTCACTGTCGTCGTCATCGTCATCAGAGTCGTCGAGGCCATCATCGTCATCCTCTACACGACGTCCACGATCCGCTGCCCACGATCGGTAGACAGTTCCTGTGCGTGCCTGGGCACCACCGTTCAAGGGCCAGGCGGCGGCGTATACGGCCGCCAAGCAAAGCAGCAGCCACGTCAGGAAGAGCGCGCCGGGGAGACACAGGAAGAGTGCGGGCCCTGCGGCCAGCATGGTCACTTCTGCCACGGCCAGACCGGTCTGCAACAGTGCCTCGGCGGCATCGGCCACGTCGTCCACGGGGACCGTCAACAATCGAGACCAAGACCAAGCGCGCGGACGGACCACGGCCCACAGGGGCGTGCTGGCCTTGGTCCAGGCGAGACGCAGGAGATCGGGGGCGTTCACGGCGAGCCAGCGCAGATCGGACGCCAGCAGGCGATACGGCGTGAGGGCGGGGGCGGCGGACGAAGAGACGAAGGCGGATGAGGCGGCGCCCAAGTTGTAGTGAGCGGCCGGCGGGCGACACTGGTGGATCCGTTGCCAGCGAGAGAGGGTGCCACCGGCGCCGTCGACGAGCGGAGGGATGTACACCACAACATGGTCACTAGTGACGGGCGTCGGCGGGCGGTAGACGGCAGCGTTGTCAATGTTCTCAACAGCGTATGATGTTGAGGGCGCCGTTGAGTGCGCAGTCAAGGGCGCAGAGGAGGCTGTCGACGCCGACGAAGCCGACGATGTTGTGGACGGCGCACTGGACGGGGACGAAGCTGGCGCCGTGGACATGCCCGATGTGGCGGTGGACGACTGCGAGAGGTGCACAACGTACGGCGGCGACGACGACAGGGAGAGGGGCCGTTGTGACCGCGAGGGAGGCCGTGACGAGGACGTTGGCGTCGACGGCGAGGGCGACCAGTAGCGCCGGAGCGTGGACGTCGTTGATGTGGTGTTGGTGGACGCCATGGAGAGGACCGAGTTGCGGTGCGACGGGGAGTTTTCGATGGCGGTGGGCGAGGCTTCAGCGCCGCCGACGTCGTGGATGTCGTTGATGTCGTCCAAGTCGATCTCGGCCTCTTCTGTTAGACTCGCGACAGACCAGCGCGGTGAGAGTGGCGAGATTGCCAATGTTCGGAGCGGTTGCTGGGGCGCTCGTTGGGACGCACGCTGATTTTCTCGACCCGCCACGGTGTAGTCGTCGGCGACAGACGAGCAGTGCCGTCGGTGGCAGTGCGCGCGCGACTGTTGCGGTCGTGTCCGATGATGCGGTGAAGGCGCTTCCAGATGCGACCACGCAAGCCAGGGCATCGTTAGGACGGCAGATGCATGATGGGAGGAGCGCGGCGAGAGTGAAGACGACGTGAGGCAACACGGAGAGAAGAATCTTCACGTAAATAGAAAAAAGACACAAGATGCACTGCGATGTGCTACGTGGTACACAATGAGACAGGTTTGTTTATTTTCTTTCCGCTTTGAGATTGTATGTCTGAATCGAAAATGTGAACATGTTGAAGGGGCCACAACAATGCAGCAAATACGAGATACAAGGAACGCAAAGGCAAACAGGACCAACAGACACGCGTCATCCTCGTGTCCAGTTACAAGAGTTCTCGAGCTCTCCTCATGATGGGCTGTCAGGATGCAATCCAGACTGCATTCCAGTTGAAGCTGTTTTGTGCTAGTGTTGTGGGTATTTTGGTGTGGGATGGAAATACGCGATGGTGGTGTGGGCACTAAGACCGCTGAAGAGTGTCGGTGTTAGCGAGCTTCTAGCGACCTAGTCACTATCGCACGACAGCGCATGCTCAAGCTTTTCCGGCGGCGGTCTGTCAAGAATTGACAAGATGAGGTCGCATTCCATTGTCAGAAGCAGTGAAGAAACCACAATCGACATCACGTCGACGCGAATGCGCTTTTCAACCTCATCGATGTATTCTACTTCAGCTCTTGCCTCCGCTGGGGTGTTGCTAACAATGAGCGTCAGTTCTGGAATTTGTTCATCTCATGAATTTGAACAAAAAAAACAAAAAAACAGACGCTCGCTGCCTCCTTGATGACTTCTCCCTTACATCTAAAGCAAGGGGTGTCTCCGATATGATTGCCAGCTGCACGTGTCGTTTTGTCCATCTCCCGTCTCACAGGCCGATCGAGTCGCGTCATGTCATGTCATGTTGTATTCATTCAAAATGACTGCTGCTGTTGATGGAGTTGTAGATCGCAGTGGCCACCAAAGTCGATGCGAGCAAGGCGACGTGCTTGCGGTTCTAGAGGACGAGATGGCACACGGCACAATCGACTGGCCGTAAGGAATATAGTCGATGCAGTACCACCAACGCCAGGCGAGGTCAGTTGGCACGAGAAGACGACGCACCCTGACGGGGCAGACAGCAGCCAAAAGGCAACGGCAGCACAGACTGCGCTGCCATGGCAGAGCCGCCGTGTGTGTGTAGGCCACGAGTATCTGCAGGTGCCGGCCGTCTGGCCTATTTCCTCCTTGTGGGAGAACGGGCCAATCGCAGCGAGAGAGCTGCGTAAGTGCTTGTTTACCTTTTCGTCAAACTCGCTCGCCACTCAACTTGATGCTTTTTTCTGGTCTCAAAGGGCTCAGAGCATGCAGAAAGTCGTATCAAGTATATGGGTTAGCGACCGCCATCCATGTTGGGAGACACTGGAGTTACTGGAGAGTGGCCGTGGGGTTCCCTGTCGTTGAGTTGCCGGTGTTGTGGTGCAGAGGATGTATGTTGGAAGTGGTGTAAATAAAAAGGAGAAGATTCTCTCGCGTGTCGACAAGTAATTACCGCCCTGGGATGCATTGTCGTGCTAGCGTGGCCTTGTGTGGCCTTGTGTGGCAGGAGGTGGCAGGAGACCTGAACCGGCAGATAGGGTCCACGCACCAACAGCGAGTCGTGCTAGCGTGGTTCACTAACACGACGACGTCGTCTACGCAAGGAAGACGCATTGTGAGAACCCGAACAAGGCCGGAACGAGGGCCAACAAAGACAAGAGAAGGCATGATTTATGAAGAGGAATGGTAACAACGGATGTGAATGACACTGGATAACTCCACAAGCTGCGGACTAATGTCTCTCGAGTCGGCGCCGTGGAGATGTTGTGATTCTGCCATTGATAACCAAGCGACCAATCTTTTGAGATCATATCATCTGCAACAAACAAATAAGGACCTCAAACTGGACAACAGAAACCGAGACGTGCTAAACCAGTTCTATATAAGACGGCGACCTCGGCAGGAAGTGTGGCACGGACCTTTAAAGAACTGAGTCTACAGGGTCGGCATCCAAAATCTCACATAGCGCTATCCGAAATCGACAAATTAATACGCCTATAATATTAATAAAACGATGAAATTTCTTGACGTTGAAGTTATTCACATCATAGTCAGTCACACTATATCGGAACTGTATTTCGTCACAATCACCAACCACGTCGAGCTGGACGACTGGCCGGCTTCCATAACAACTTTGTACCGGCCTTGCTGACCTGTGTTGGCAACCCAGTGTTGAGTCTACTCATTCGGGAGAGCAAAATTGAAAGCGTTGAAATTAGAAATGTTAATGAGCAGAGGGTATAGACGAAAGAAAAACATAAATAATATAAAGTAGTGAAGAGGCAAAAAATAAAGTAAAAATAAATCCCATTCATCGATAGACAAACCGCGTGATAGGAAAAATAATAACGTAACGACATAACGACGTAACGACGTAAAGTACGAGGCATTGTGCGAGCACATGCCATCAGCATCCTGGCCGCTCACGAATAAGACACTGGCAGTCGCCCGCGCACGTTGACGGCCCCGTCCAACCAAGGAAACGCCTCCACCAACTCCGGTCCGACCGTCCAGTTCTTGGCTTCCCGCACGTGTTGGACAAACGCCTGCGTTATGACATAGTTTTTCCCGTCCCCGGTCGCAGTTCCTGTTGTCGTAGAAGACGAGCCTCCCGCCAGCTCCGACCTCGCTTCGAGAATCCCCTCCAGGCCGTTATGGGGCCAGCCAATGCTCAGCGACTTGACAAGGATGCTGGCAAAGTCGCGGTAGCGTGTGTGGTCGAGGTGCGACACGATGCGTTCGCGGGCGCGCGGCCAGCCGAGCGTGTCGATCCAAACGGGATGGGGGACGACGAGCTGGGCGCCGGTCGGCCGGAAGAACTCGGGGATGGCGTCGTAATGTTCGCGTGTCGGGGTGATGAGCCATCGGACGTAGATGCACGTGATGTAGAGCAGGGCCGTTTTTTCGGGGGACGCGTAGTCCATGACGGTGCCGGCGACGTGCCGTGCAATCGTCGACGCGACAGGGCGGTCGGGTTCGTAGAGAACGGGGTTCAGCAGCGAATGGACCGAGGGGAAGTGGGTATGCGTGAACTCGTCGGAGGGCGACGTGGCAGCTGTGGATACCGAGACAGAGGCTGAGGGTGTCGTAGAGCCTGTCGAGCCGGCAGACGTGCCTGTCGTGGTCGTTGTGGCGGCCGACGCCGTCGACAGCGACCGCCCGGTCGATGATGCACCCATGGCAGCCCTCGAGCCCACCGACTGGCCTCGTCTCCTCTTGTACACCAAGTTGATAATTACATCATCCACGTTCGATGTCGGTGGTACATAGGGCGGCGTCACCGCCCAAACAGGCGACGCATCCCGCAGTCGGTTGGCCTCAACACGCGCCAAGTACACAGCGCTTGCGTCGTCGGGCGGACTGCGGCGGACACTGTCGGTGGTCGGTAATGGCGCAGGTGGCGATGGGGCCGAGAAGTCGATGCTGCCGGGCGGGTTGCGGTGGACATAACCTTGTGTATATGGATAAGCCAGCTGGGGATCGGACGACAGTGGCGGCAGTTGTTGAGGTTGCTGTGAATGCGGCGAATGCTGGGCCGCGTACTGCGGGTAGAGGTAGGGTTGCAGCTGTGTGGGCGACGGGGCACGCTGTGCGTGCTGAGGGGGATGTGTATGGCCGTCTGCGAACAGCGGCAGACTCCGCGTCAACAAGTCGATGTCGAGAGAAACTGTTTTGTTAGTGGGAGAACGTTCTATAGTCGACAGAGAGCAACACGTACAGTCGCTATTTTGAAACGAAACGCCGTCGTCGACAGGCACAGTGACTGTCGCACCAGGCCCCGAAAAGTCGACGTTGTCGAGGTTCATGGAAACCGCGTCGCCGGCGAACGGTTGCGTGCCACCCATCGGCTGGTCGACCGAGTGACCAGACCGTACCATCGGCCCCGGCTTTGCATCTGGCTGGAGTGAGGCTGGCGATGGCGAGAGCGACGATGCCGAGGTCGTCTGTGCCACCGTAGTTGCCACCGATGCTGCTGAGCCTGACACCGGCGACGCGGTTGTCGTTAGCGGCGACGATCCCGGCGAGCTGCCCGCCGCACTGCCCGATCCGACCGACGATCCGGCCGTCGAAGTGTCTGCATTCACCACGGCCAGCGAGACTTGCAGCGACCGCAATGAGGCTATGATGCCCTCCAGAGACGTCGACGAGGTCTGCGTGCGCGCGGCCGCCTGCGCCTTGTCGGCCTCGGCCTGCGCCAACCGCTCCGTCAGCGCGCGCACCTCGCCCTCGAGCTCGGCCAGCCGGGCCTTGTTCTTTTGGCGCAGAACACGCTGGTTCTCGCGGTCGATGGCGCGCTTGCGGTAGAGGCGTTCCATGCTCAGGTTGGCGGCGGCGCGCGACGACGTCGCCGCCGACGCGCTCGAGCGGCCGTCCGTCTTGACGGGGCGGATATGGAGCGCGTCGTCCATACTGGGAGAGTGCTCGGGATGTCTGAGTCAGATTGTGATTTTGTAATTTCTAGCTATGGCTGTTGTCGTATCGTTATCGACAGAGGCAGCGGCAGCAAGTGGCAGGTACGTGGTTCGTTGTGTCGCTCCTTCTCAACCGGTCGCAAGACGATCATGACACTCGTTCCTTCCTTGCTATTTTTTGTCTTTTTTTTTACCTGTCCTCGCTTCGCTCAATTTCCCACGATCACTGATCTTTTTTGTTCCCTTTCCCTCGTCCCCTTTCATTTCGTTGCACTGTCGGATTCTCTCACCTGCAATCCGACATGCAGCATTCGACATCGCTGCCCCCAATTCGCAACGCGACGTCGCAAGCCCTGGCTCGGTTTGCACGATGGCGCAAGCACGCAACCAATGGCGCCAATTGCATCAAAGGAAAGACCTTGCAACGGAAGAGCAGGTGGCCACCCCACTTAAAAGTAGGCACAACATTCAGATACAAAGCATTGTCTCTACTCACATTTGGCCATTGTCACCGTTGTCTTCCCACTCGTTTCCTCTCTCGTCTCGAATTC